ACTGTTACTGGAAAGCACCAGCAACTAGAGGAACACATTTCTTTGCTACACAATCATATTTTCCATTTAATTAAATTTACTTAGCTTTAGCCTAATATTTTTCAAGATCATCCTGATGTTTTCAAAGTATTTGATAGTAAATTTGCATGGTTAATGTAAGGAGTGCATGAAATTTGGATAGATCTGTAAAAATTTTAAAGGTCAAAGCATAGTTAATCCTTAAAGTGAATCCTGTTATGTATTTTGGGAAGTGGCTTGAAAAGTAGATTTCCATTGCACATGTGATATTTAATTTCTGAAGGCCCCAACTATTAAATTTCTGAAGGCCCCAAGTATTGCAATATCTGGTTTATGCCACTAGGTGGTAGCATTATTTTATTTTCATTTATGTAAACTCTAGACCAGTGGTTTTCAAACTTTTTAATCACAGGGATCTCCTTACACTCTTAAAGCTTACTGAGGTTTCCAAAGAGTATTTGTTTGTGTGGGTTATATGGATATTCATTATATTAGAAATTAAAACTAAGAAATTTTTTAAAAGTTCATTTTAAAATAACAATTATAAACCTATTACATGTAAGTATTGAATACTTTTATGAAAATTACCCATATTTCCCAAAACACAATTTAGTGTGAAGAATGGCATTGCTTTACATTTTTGCTTATCTTATTGTTTGGCTTAATAGAAGATAGCTGTATTTTCATGCCTGTTTCTACATTCAATCTGTTGTGATAGGGTCACAGAAAGGGTCTCATGACCCTAGGATTTGTGGACCACACTTTGAAAACTGCTGCTCTAGACTTTTGCTTTTATTCACAAAAGACACTTGATGATTGGATGGGAATTCTGATAAATCTTTGTGTTGTTTTTTCCTGTTAATTTGCATTTCATTCATTTCATAGTACTAGTTGTGTTTTTTTGGTTTTATATCACATGCATTTTAGCAGCTTTTTTGCTGGGATAAAGAAATAAGCACTGGCTTACTTATTAATTCTTGATGTTATTAATCAGCTTCTTAGTTAATCTAGAGGTGGCAGCCTTTCCACATTTCTGCCTCTTTGCTTCTTCCCTGCAGGGGGAGTAGAGTGGGTCTTGTTATTTTTACAGTAAAGTGTCCCCTGGGACAGTGCAACAAAACAGTAATGCTGCCTAGAATCTCAGAATTCCGGCATTTGTTATTTATTATGATTGGTTAAGACATCGAGGATGAGGAGGGGGAAAGACAGTGAAGTGGCAAAAGCAAATTCTTCCTAGCTTAGCCTGAGGATTAGTTCTTTTATACACCTCACCCCCCCACCCCCGCCTGCCTTATTACTTCAACTGTCTTTTTGTGAAATATTTTCTTTATATCACCCAATGCCTAACATATGCTTGGCAGATGTCAAACATCTAATAAATATATGATGAATGAATGGTTGGATTATTGAGCTGTAGATTGCCAACCTTTCTCATGTAACTCATATAGTGAGCATTTGTCCATTTTCATAATTCCCATGGATGTGAGTAAACCTCATCTGAAGGGGAAAGTGATGAGCCAGCAATAAAAGGTCTACCCTGTGTTTTTTCTTAACTGATAGAGGACCATTCTTAAGGTACATTCAATTTTTTCTAGAAATATTTGCAAAGTTTTTTTTTTTTTAAAGCAAAAATTGCCTGAGATACATTGAATTTTGCTTTGGAAGAACACAACGTGTTCTTGCAACACTTGGCGGCAGTTCGTGCTTAGCCTTCCTGTTGGTGTGTGCTGTGACCATGGTTTCTCTGTGCACTCTTGCATGTTGGCAGAAGACTTGTCAGCTGGGGCTGATGCACGCTTTCTTTCTCCCCACTCACTTATCCTGTGTTGGTAATTGGAAGACAAATTATGTAGACATTCAGAACATACTTCTTTAGTACTCAACATTAAAATCCTAGCATAGTTTCATTTTGGAAAGAGTGGGGAATTCACTTGAGAATATTATAGGCTAAGGACACCACTTTACTATGTCTAGTGGTTGCGAGATCAGAAGGTGAGATGTTTCTGGTTAGTAAGTAAGCTCTCAGTATATCCTCCTTGAACATTGAAATGGGACTCGTTGGATGCAGACTTCCTGTAAGGAAGTGGCTTCATTTGTGGTAGAGTGTAGAGTGGGTTTGAAATAAGTTTTCTGTATGTGGATATAGAAATGTGTTTTATTGCCTCTTTAAAATTTTATTTTATTTTGGGGGGACTTAACATTTTCATAAAGCAAGATGGAGGTGGAAAGCAGTGAGTTTTTGTATGTCTGTCAGAGGTATAATAACATGCTGCATTTTGTTGAGAGTTAGAAGCCATCAGTAATTGATTGGTTCAGAAATTCTGGTTTAGTAAGGTATATTATTGCTCAGCTGAGCTTGATCAATGTCAGCATTCTTGGTTTTAAAAAATAATGCAAGGTAAGGATTGTTCCTTAAATCCTATTTAAGTTGATTTATCATCTGAAGGCAAAGTTGGATGACTCAGTTGTTACATTTGAATGAGGACATCTCAAAGGTGTCTTTTTAGGTATAAAATTATATGGTTCTCTGACAAGGTGGCAGAAGGTAGGAAGAAAGGATTAAATTTAGATGAAAAGAACTTTGGAACCAGATCTGTCCTACCTTAATCATAATATGATGGATAATCAAGTGACTTAGGAAAGCTATTTTGGAGGATTAAACACTAAAATTAGAATATAATATAGGAGAATATACTAAAATTTACTGAGTATGGTTAGAAAAGTTAACTATTGGAAAATTATATCCAAATAGGAACTTTGTGGCATAGATTTTTTTTGTTATTTGAGAAAGTGAGAGCACTACATCTATTTTTATACTATATCGGATTCTGGAATTTAAAGAAAACAATGAAAATTCACTTGGTATTGACTGTGTACAGTTTTGTTTTATTTTGCTTAATTGACAAAAGTTTTTCATTTAAAACTGTCTTGCTGGAAGAATATCAAAACTATTTTCAGGTTCTCTAGAGCCTGATTTAAGATATTTCTGTGAAGTGCTTAGAAGTGCTAATGTAAGTGCAATCTTACATGCCAAATATTAGCAGTAAGGAAAAGATTGTGATGACATCTAATAAGCATTTTAAAATATCGTCATTCCATTTTTCCATGTTTTTCTTTCCCAGATTTAAACCTTCAGCTCAAACTAAGCAGTAAGCACTCTGCTACAGAATTTCTTTCCCGTAATTGATCAGTTTACTCCATCAGGAAACTAATTTCTTATTCCTACCAAGAGGAGCTTCTTAATGCTCGACACCAGAATTTATAGGAAAAGAATATCTAACTAAAACAAAGAGCATTTCCCTTTAAATACTTTATTTACCAACATATTTATGTCTAAGGATTATCATCTTGGTGTTTGCAGGCAAATATCAATAAAGTTGGAGTAGGAATCTTTAAAAATAATTTCAGCTAATTAATATGCCTTTGAAATTTAGACCTTATTTGAACTATAGTTTTATACTTTGTGCATATAAAATGAATAAATTGGGTAGATTTTTTTAATATCAAAAACATGGTTGCCAGAGAAGTGTTTTTGTTTTGTTTTGTTTTGTTTTTTAACGTAGTGAGCAAAATAAGTTGTGTTTCTTGGTTGTTACCAGAATTCAGCCTTTCTCTTGCCTTTTTCTGTACCTACTACAGTTCATCATTAAGAAAATGCTTTAGAATACGTGTTTGCTTCAGGTATGCAATTCCTTTGCCCAAACCACTGTCTGTTAAGTCAAATTGTGGTTAATAAAGGGGCTTTTAAATGAGATATCATAGGTTGAAGTTCCACATTTCTTATACCACTGGGAGTGAAAATACTACACATGTCAATGAACTGTCACCTCTGGATATATGTTTCTTAAAAGGATTAAAACCCATCTTGAAAATTGATGTTTTATTTATAGTTCGTCTCTTTGGTAAAGGGAAGTCTGGTGTCTTCTAGTCTGTGAGGACTAAAGGAAATAGTCTAGGATGATAATAGCCGTAGGATTTTCACAGGCTACTGTTCTGTCAGTAGAGAGAGAAAGAAGGGGAGAGAGAGGGAAAGTGTATGTTTGCACACATATGCAGTGCACACAAACATATATACACACACATGCATATACATACAAATATACATAAACACACACACATATATATTTTGGTGTAAAGTTACCCAGCTCTTGCACCCATCATATATGACTTTGTTTGATACTAGATGAGCTGTCCTTAAAGATCTTACTACTCTAGGCTAGATGATTGTTTATTAAGGGCCTGAATTCTTACTTATTTCACCCAAGAACTCCCTGCTGGTAGTGCCTTTTTATACACGTTGAATCAGGTGAAGATTTCTTTCTAGTTAACTACACTAATTCGAAACTTACACAGTAGTAGGTTTCATATCAAAATACATTGTTTAAATATGTGATTCAGACAGTAAATATTAAAAAAAAACCCTGCTGTTATCATATGGTTAAGAGGTTTTTAAAAATAAGATTAGTCAAAGAATAATTTTTTCATTCTTAAAAATGTCCTAGTGAGTATATAATAGTATTATCTAATTATTGATAATAATTAGATAATTATTAGATAATCGATAATAATTAGATAATTAAATAAGAACTGCATCACAAACAAAAAAGCAATTGGAATTATATACTACAGAAGTAGGTACAAGTCTTCATTTCTTTGAATTTGCTATCTATAAGGACACTTGTGGGGAGAGTGGGCAATCTTTAGTAATTTAATATTTTTTCTAATATTTTTTATAACTTCTGAGCTTAAGTTCATATAAGCAATCTTAAGATCTGAATCCAGAACTCAATGACAAATTGCTTTCAGTGACTGGACATTTCTGTGGCTTTTAACTACTCAAATATCTCTTGGCTTAAAACAGTGATGAGTTTTTTAACCTCTTCTGCTACTGCTGCTCTTAGTTCCCATAAATTGAATGTAAAACACTTTAGCTCAATGATAGTATTTCTTGAGATACTTGTTTTCTGCTGTTTTCATTATAGCTTTTGAGGAACTTGAAAAAGCCTTGAGTACAGCCCAAAAAACAGAAGAAGCACGGAGAAAAATGAAAGCAGAAATGGAGGAGCAAATAAAAGCCATTGAAAAAACAAGTGAGGAGGAGCGTAACAGACTTCAACAAGAATTAGGCCACGTGAAACAGGAGGTTGTTCATGTAATGAAAGTAAGAATAATTCTGGATTGAAATGGGCTACGGCAGTGTTGAAACTTAAGTCTTAGGCTCTTCCTACATCTTTGATAGTAAAGAAGAGTTAATTTGTATTTTGTTTGAGACCTTGATCATTTCGTGATGTTTAGATTATAGGAAAAAAGCACTTTGATAGAGAAATGAATGTGTACCTTTTTGGCTATACTTCCCAGAGATAGTCTCTGCATATAATTTCTCTCTTATGTTTTCTAATCCTCTCTTTAATTAATTAACTAAGTTATTTATTTGGCTACATTGGGTCTCACTTGCAGCACATGGGATCTTCATTGTGGCGTGTGGGATCTTCTGTCGTGGTGCGCAGACTTTTCTCTAGTTGTGGTGCGCGAGCGCGCAGGCTCAGTAGTCGCGGCGCGTGAGCTTAGTTGCCCCGCGGCATATGGGATCTTAGTTCCCTGTCCAGGGATCAAACCCACATCCCCTGCATTGGAAGGTGGATTCTTAACCACTGGACCACCGCGGGAGTCTCTTTATTTATTTATTTTTTAAACACAAAAGATGGCATGTTATTTTTACTGATCTGTATTTTGCTTTTCCACTTAATAATCTGTCATGGAGGTTGTTCTTTATTATTGAGTTGATAATGATGCCCCATTTGTTTTAAAGACTGCTCAGGACTTCATTGTATGAATAGCTCATAATTTAATCAGTCTTCTGCTGATGGATATTTAGGCTTTCAGTTTTTACTGTTGGAAATTGTGAATATCCTTATCGTATTTGCTCACATCTGTGTTTCTTTAGAATAGATTCCTAGAAGTGGAATCTAGGAAAAAATTACGTGTATTTATAATTATTGGATAGTTGCTACAAGCTCAGTGGAGGACAGTTTATACTCATGAGCAACGTATTAGAATATGTTCCTGCCATCACAAAGATGGTATTACCTGAATGTTTTTATCTTTCCAAGCTAAGTTAAAATAATGACATCATTGCAGTTTTTTTTAAAAATAAATTTATTTATTTATTTATTTTTGGCTGCATTGGGTCTTCATTGCTGCACGTGGGCTTTTCTCAAGTTGTGTTGAGCAGGGGCTACTCTTCATTGCCGTGCGCGTGGGCTTCTCACTGCAGTGGCTTCTCTTGTTGTGGAGCATGGGCTCTAGGCACTTGGGCTTCAGCAGTTGTAGCAGATGGGCTCAGTAGTTGTGGCTCACGGGCTCTAGAGAGCAGGCTCAATAGTTGTGGCGCATGGGCTTAGTTGCTCTGCGGCATGTGGAATCTTCCTGGACCAGGGCTCGAACCCATGTCCCCTGCATTGGAAGGTGGATTCTTAACCACTGTGCCACCAGGGAAGTTGTGTAGTTTTAATATGCATGTCTCTTACCAGTATGACAAACATGTTTTTGTATGTTTACAGGAATTTATAGTTTTCCTTTTTGAGTCGCCCGATCAGATCCTTGATTCATTTTCCTCTTGGGCTGTTGGTCTTTTTCTGATTTGTAGAAGCTTTTTACCTATAGTAAGAATTAGCCATTGGATATAAGGTGCGTTTATCCAAATAATTTTCTCAGTTTGTTATTTGTTGTCTTTGTTTATGATTTGCTTTTGTTTTGGGTTTTTTTTTGGCTATGCAGAAAGTTTTCTTTTCCTTAGATGCTATCTGGATTTTGTTCTGCTTTAAAAACACATTCTCAGTTGAGATGAAAAATTTTTTTTATTTTTCTCATCTAACACTTTTTTTTTTCTTTTGTATCCTTTGACCAACATCTTCCCATTTCTCCATCCCCAGACCTGATAACTTTGCCTTCCATCACACCAAGGTTTTTTTTTTTAAATTAATTTATTTTATTTTATTTGTGTTTGGCTGTGTTGGGTCTTCATTGCTGTGCACGGGCTTTTCTCCAATTGAGGTGAGCGGGGGCTACTCTTTGTTGTGATGCACAGGCCTCTCACTATGGTGGCTTCTCTTGTTGCAGAGCATGGGCTCTAGGTGTGCAGGCTTCTGTACTTGTGGCTCACGGGCTCTAGAGCCCAGGGTCAGTAGTTGTGGTACACGGGCTTAGTTGCTCCGCGGCATGTGGGATCTTCCCAGACCAGGGCTCGAACCCGTGTCCCCTGCATTGGCAGGCGGATTCTTAACCACTGCGCCACCAGGAGAGCCCTCTCATCTAACACTTTTATGTTTTCATTTTTTATGGTTAAATCTTTGATCGAACTGAAATTTATTTAGTGTGAGGAGTGAGGTAGGGCTCCAACTTAAATTTTTTCCAAATGACTACCTAGTAGCCTTCAAATCATTTCTTTAATAGCCCATGTTTTCCCTTCTGACATGCCATACTACCTTTATATTACATACTAAATTATTGTAGTGCTACGTATGGGCCTTCTGGATTCTCTGTGCTGTTCCACTGCTTTGTCTGACTATGTGCTGGTATTACACTAATACCAGTTTTATAATATGTTTTAGTTTTATAATGTTCTACTATTTGGTAGCCTCTCCTTGTTATTCTTATTTTTCAGAAGAGATCAGCTATTCTTGCATGTTTATTTTGTCCAGTGGGCCTTCCCTCATTTTGTTTTATTTGATTATATTAAATTTTTGAATTTATTTAGGGTGATTTGACATTTTTATAAGATTGAGTCCTCCTATTCAAGAAAGAACAAGGTCAATACTTTTTTTTTAAATAAATAAATTAATTTATTTATGGCTGTGTTGGGTCTTTGTTTCTGTGCAAGGGCTTTCTCTAGTTGTGGCAAGCGGGGGCCACTCTTCGTCGCGGTATGCAGGCCTCTCACTATCGCGGCCTCTCTTGTTGTGGAGCACAGGCTCCAGACGCGCAGGCTCAGTAGTTGTGGCTCACGGGCCTAGTTGCTCTGCGGCATGTGGGATCTTCCCACACCAGGGCTCAAACCCGTGTCCCCTGCATTAGCAGGCAGATTCTCAACCACTGCGCCACCAGGGAAGCCCAATACTTATTAATAAGTAGTAGTACATGCCTGGAAAGCTAGGCATAAATAGATGGGTGTAGCCAGAACACCTTGACCATGGTGGAGTGCCCTCTCTGAGAGCATCCTTTTTCCTCCTACTGTGCTTCCCTATCCTGATTGGTGGGGAACATCTTTGTATGATGTGGAATTGGAGCTTCAACCCCATAGGAACTGACCCTTGCAGCTGCAGCTCTCTTTGTCTTAAATGAGGAGCAACACTTTATTGGTTTTTCTTTTAACTCTCAAGAGTTTGGTGACTTTTGATTTATGTGGGAAATATGTTCCAATTTTTCCTCTTAAGAAGCTATTAACTTGATTATAATGAAGTATTATTTAGTTGTAGAGTTAACATATTTTATTCTGGGTGTCTCACTTTAACTATTTGGTTGCGTTTCAGAAATCCTCAGAAGAAATTGCAAAATTACAGAAGCTTCATGAAGAGGAGCTGGCCAGCAAAGAGCAGGAACTGACTAAGAAGTTTCAGACCCAAGAAAGGGAATTTCAGGAGCAAATGAAAGTAGCTCTTGTAAGTACCTATTTTGTTTTGGCCACATTATAAAGTTGTCAGCCCCTCACCCCTGCCTCCCAGCTTGAGGTCACGCTACTGGCAGCCTTAACATTTGAGTATGCAGAGAGGGTTGGCCGTAGGCAGGAATGAGGCTGTCAGAGCTTGTTAATTTAGTATTATCTGAAAATTAAATTTTCTCATCTAACAAGCTTTCATTAATCAGTTTGTTTATCATTCCTCTCACCCTGGCTGTAGGCTGTGATTAGGGAGAAGTAAAGGGGAACATAGGGTAACTGAAGCAGCGACTGCGTAACTTAGGAAGAATGTCTAAAAACTCACCAGACTGAATGTATCAGAGCTTAAGGTTCAGAGAGTTTGCCTGAATGCATTTTAAAGAAGACAAAATGAAAATGACCAAGTAGTTTTCATTTTAAGTAGAATAATTTCAGTAATTTTCAATCCATATGATGTTTAAAAAGATAAAGTAAAATGAGAAAACTGACTGAACTAACTAAAACAATAACCAGAAAAGCAAAGATAGAAAGATTTGTTGGAGTAGTATAATTTGGAAGTTTAAAGCAAAAAATTTTTTCTCTTGAACTGTGAAGTATTAATGCTGAAAATGTAGTTTACTGTTTTTATATGAAGCTATTATCCATGAGATAATATGTATAATTAAAAAATACTTTTAGTATGAAAGGATGAGAAATAGTTTTTATAATTTTAATCTCCTTTTTTTTTTTTTTTTGGCTGCATCATGTCTTAGTTGTGGCACACAGGATCTTTGTTGAGACATGCGGCCTTCTCTCTAGTTGTGCCGTGCGGGTTTTCTCTCTCTGGTTTTGGCGCGTGGGCTCCAACGCTTGTGGGCTGTGTAGTTGGCGGCACACGAGCTCTCTCGTTGTAGCACGCGGGCTCAGTAGTTGTGGCATGCGGGCTTAGTTGCCCCCAGCATGTGGGATCTTAATTCCCCTACCAGGGATCGAACCTGAGTCCCCTGCATTGGAAGGCAGATTCTTTACTACTGGACCACCAGGGAAGTCCCTTTAATCTCCTTTCTTTTACACATTTTTTTTTTCACTCTCAGCTGGAACTGGGGCTCTGAGGATTTCCAGCAGCTGTGATCCTTGAACTGAGTCAGGGAGTTCTCTAATCTCTGTGGGGCCAACAGGCACATGGTTTGACAGTGCTGTTGGCTGAGGTTAGTGGTTTAGTCCGTGGTTGTGAAATGTACACCTGTACGGGTACATATTTGTATTCTTTGTTGGTCCAAAAAGGATTTAAAATTGTTTACAAGAGTACTTAAAAACTATAACACGATAGCATACATTTAAAATAGGGACAAGGAAATAAAGGAACAAAGCGAGACATTAAGGACCTAAATGAAGCTGGGAATGATGCTAAAAATTCAAGTCATAAAGACCTGTTGTGGATTTTCATGCTGGAGTAATTGGGGGCACTGAGCCTTGAACATTGGCCTTGTTAATACTGTGTTCGGGAACTGATATATTCAGACATATTCCCACTGGCGAGCACAGGACACAGACACACGTAAAACACGTATGTGCACATGCTCTCACCCCTTTCCACTCCCCTTCCTACCTAGTTTCTCAGAGGAGTTAGCTTGGAGTTGAGAATCAAAATTCTTCAGACTATTAAAATTTCTTCTTTTATATTTATGGACATAGATAGAGATGCATTTAACATATAGTTTACATTAAACAATATAACATTTTTAAGTGATGTTTTTAAATTGATGTTATAGAAACTAATATTTTCTTATCAATCTACTTATAATATGGTACAAAATCTTTACTTAAGGCAGTATGCTTCACCAGAGTGAAATGGACTGAAAATATTACTGTTGGCCACATGAACCCTAAGCAATAGGTATAGAGAAGTATACTTAATTGGAGTCCAAAGTCACTAAATGTCAAAAGTGCTCTCTGGAGCTTCTCTTTTCAGAACAGTAAACAGTATTAATATGAATGCTGATGTATACTAAGGACAGTCAAAGAAGAAGCTTGTCAGGGCCAGACCATCTGAAGAGATATATAGGCTTTTATAAGTATTTCCTTGATCTAATCCATATATTCACATGTAATCTTCTAATTTTGATTTGCTTTTCTGTGTGGGGTTCCCTATTATAGTGAGGTATTTCTCATAAATCATATAAATTTCTCAGCCTAGAGTTGAAATACCAAACTGGCATGCAGAGAACAGGTAGTAACAATTGTGTGACCCTGCACATTCAGTGATATTTTGCAAAACATTTTAAGTAGTGAAAAAATAGCAGACGTAGTAGGGGTTACTGGAACAAAATTTTTCATATCAATAGTGATTGTGGCAAAGATTGGCCAGATCACACGGAAAAAGCCACAGTGCCTTATTTCTGCAGACCAGGGTGTGGGAAGAGAGGTAATGATACTGCCTACCTCGCAGGGCTGGTGTGAGGATCAAATGAAATGAATGATTCCTGTGGCAGTGCTTTGGGAATGCTGAAGATCTACGTGGGTCTAAGGTGGTGTTACTGTTTTTGGCACAGGAAAAAAGTCAGTCTGAATATTTGAAGATCACTCAAGAAAAAGAAGAGCAAGAATCTTTGGCCTTGGAAGAGTTAGAGCTGCAGAAGAAGGCAATCCTCACAGAGAGCGAAAACAAACTTTGGGACCTTCAGCAAGAAGCAGAGACTTACAGAACTGTAAGTTGAAATACTCTTCAGGTTCCACAGCTGTGGAACTGCTTGTATAGGAAAACTGTTGTTATCTCTGCAGTCAATATAAGGTTGTAGAGAAGCTTTTGTTTTAGATTTACATATACATGCACTCCATTCATTATTAGGTAGTAAGAGCTGTTCATGGGAGTGGTTTTGATGTCTGCTACATGGTGCTCCTGACCTGCCTTTAGCTGGCTGTATTTCTGTCAGCCACTTGCTCTGATTCTTTGCCCTCAGGCTGTGCAGCATCTTAGCTCCACTGCTTACTCACCTTTCATCTTTAGGAAGTGGCCTCATTTTGTACGCAGCACTTGCCCTGACACCTTCCTGCCTGTTCAGCTTCATCTCGTGCCACGCCCTGGACATAATTCATTCTCTGTTTATATCACAGTTTAGTTACCCCATTGCTCTCCTTTGACATTTAACTTTTCCCCAATTTTCCCATATTATAAATAGTCCTATGGTGAGCATGTTAGTATATATATCTCCGTGTGCACATTTTAAAATCCCTCTGTCCTTCCCCTGAACAGTATATGAAATGTTCGACCTATTTTGAATAAACTGACTGATGTTATTTAGACTTTTTCGCCTTTTTGCTCTGATTTAGACAGTGACACAGTCACACTTCTTACCCCAATTTCTATAAGGGATTTGTTTTTTTGTTTTTTTTTTTGTGGTACATGGACCTTTCACCGCTGCGGCCTCTCCCGCTGTGGAGCACAGGCTCCAGATGCGCAGGCTCAGCGGCCATGGCTCACAGGCCCAGCCGCTCCGCGGCACGTGGGATCTTCCCGGACCGGGGCACGAACCCGTGTCCCCTGCATCGGAAGGTGGACTCTCAACCACTGCGCCACCAGGGAAGCCCTCTTACCCCTATTTCTAAACTGTATTTTATTTTCCCACTTCCAACATTTCTGTAAGGTGGCATGGTAGAGAGGAATGGGTACTCAGGAGGCCTAGATCTTTCACTTACTAGCTTTGTGAATTAATTATACCTTAATTTCCTTACCTGTCACCTGAAGAGATTGATATTTGGTAATTTCTTAAGACCTTTCCAGCTTTGACATTCCTTGGCTCTGCCTTACATTCCTTACAATGCCTTGACATTCCTTAGCTCTTTTCCTTTCAGTCAAGGTTGATATTTTCATGAGATAATCATTTTACTATTACTTTTTGTAAATTACTTTGGTAAAATTTGTGTAAGTTCCTTCTTTTTGAAAAATATCTTCTAAGTAATAATTTTTGGGGTAAGAGCCAGATACGTTATTTTTCTTCCAGAATTAAGTTATGAAAGTAATAGAATACTATTATAGGCCTTTTAACAAAACAGAAAAAAATACTCATCTTTCTACCAGCAGTTACTATTATCTACGTTATGATTTATTTCTTTTTCACTATCCATTCAGAATTTTCTTGAAAAAACAGGTAGTTGAAATAGTTACCCAAATAGGTAGAAAGAATCTGGAATTTTGAGTTGTGTAAAAAATAGAATCTTTTCTTTGTTATATGATTCGTTTAGGAATTGAGCACAGATTCTTTGTCCTTTCTAGAGTTTGGTAAGATATGTAAAGTTGTTTATCTAAATTTTAATCTTTAAGTAGGTGTAGACATCATGTCATATATATCATTGCTAACAAATGTACTTTAATAAAAAGACATCTGTTTTCATTAACAGAGAATTCTTGAATTAGAAAGTTCTTTGGAAAAACGCTTGCAAGAGAATAAAAATCAGTCAGAAGATTTAACTGTTCATTTGGAAGCTGAAAAAAATAAACACAATAAAGAAATTACAGTCATGGTTGAAAAACACAAGACAGAATTGGAAAGTCTGCAGCATCAGCAGGATAACCTTTGGACTGAAAAACTCCAAGTCTTAAAGCAACAGCATCAGACTGAAATGGAAAAACTTAGAGAAAAGTATGAACAAGAAAAAGTAACACTGTTGAATGACAGAGAGGTTCTCTTTCAGGCCCACATAGAAGAGATGAATGAAAAGACTTTAGAAAAGCTTGATGTGAAGCAAACAGAACTGGAATCACTATCGTCTGAACTGTCAGAAGTATTAAAAGCCCGTGACAAGCTAGAAGAAGAACTTTCTGTACTAAAGGATCAAGCAGATAGAGTGAAGCGGGAATTAGAGGCCAAGCTGGATGAACAGAAAAGTCATCACCAGCAACAGGTTGACAGCATCATTAAAGAACAAGAGATGTCTATCCAGAGAACTGAGAAGGCATTAAAAGATGAAATTAACCAACTTGGGCTTCTTCTGAAAGAAAAGGACAAGCATTTAAAAGAGCATCAGGCTCATGTGGAGAATTTAGAGGCAGATGTTAAAAGGTCTGAAGGGGAACTCCAGCAGGCGTCTGCTAAGCTGGAGCTCTTTCAGTCACTGCAGAGCACCTTGCATGAGCAGGTAGAAACATATGAGGAGCAGTTGGCCCAGTTGCAGCAGAAGTTGTTGGATTCGGAAACAGAAAGAATTCTTCTTACCAAACAGGTAGCTGAAGTTGTCACTCAAAAGAAAGATGTTTGTGCTGAGTTAGATGCTCACAAAATCAAGGTACAGGACATAATGCAGCAACTTGAAAAACAGAATAGTGAAATGGAAGAAAAAGTAAAATCTTTAACCCAACACTATGAGTCCCAACTTAAAGATAATATAGAGCAGGAACAGACAAAGCAACTCTTAATGGAAAAGGAAAATGTAATTTTACAAATGAAAGAAGGACAGAGCAAAGAAATTGAAATACTCAAACAGAAATTATCAGCCAAGGAGGACAGTATTCATGTTTTGCAAGAGGAGTATGAAACCAAATTTAAAAGTCAAGAGAAAAAGATAGAAAAAATTAAGCAGAAAGCAAAGGAGATGCAAGAAACGTTAAAGAAGAAACTGTTGGATCAGGAAGCCAAACTTAAGAAAGAGCTCGAAAATACTGCTCTGGAGCTCAGTCAGAAAGAAAAACAGTTCAATGCCAAAATTTTGGAAATGGCACAGGCTAACTCAGCTGGAATCAATGATGCAGTGTCAAGATTGGAGACAAACCAAAAGGAGCAAATAGAAAGTCTTACTGAGGTGCACAGGAGAGAACTCAATGATGTCATAGCAGTCTGGGAGCAGAAACTTAACCAGCGAGCTGAAGAACTTCAGGAAAAACATGAAATCCAGTTACAGGAAAAAGAACAAGAGGTAGCAGAACTGAAGCAAAAGATTCTCATATTTGGGTGTGAAAAAGAAGAGATGAACAAGGAAATGGCATGGCTGAAGGAAGAGGGTGCTAAGCAGGATACAGTGTTGAAGGAATTACAGGAACAGTTAAACCAGAAGGCTGCTCACATGGTTTCTGCCTCACAGAATGAAGCTAAACTGAAAGCTGAACTTGAAAAGCTGGAGGTTGACCTGAATCACTCTCAGAAGGAAAATACTTTTCTTCAAGAGCATGTAGTTGAACTGAAGATGCTGGCAGAAAAAGATAAGCTTAAGGTCTCTGAGTTGACTGAGAAGCTGAAAACCACAGATGAAGAATTCCAGAGTTTGAAATCTTCATATGACAGAAATAAGAAAAGCCTAGAAGACAAAAGCTTAGAATTCAAAAAACTGTCCGAGGAGCTAGCAGTTCAGCTGGACATTTACTCCAAGAAAGCGGAAGCCTTATTACAAGCTAAAACAAGTGAGCTCATCAACATTAGTAGCAGTAAAATTAATGCCGTTCTCTCTAGGGTCTCCCATTGTCAACACCACACAACTAAAGTTAAGGAGGCACTACTAAGTAAAACTTGCAAAGTTTCTGAATTAGAAGCACAACTGAGACAGCTAACAGCAGAGCAGTACACACTAAATAGTTCTTTACAACATGCTGCACATCAGTTGGAAGAAAAAGAAAGTCAGATTAAGAGCATGAAGGCTGATATTGAAGGTCTTGTGACAGAAAAAGAAGCCTTACAGAAGGAAGGAGGAAATCAGCAACAGGCTGCCTCAGAAAAGGAGTCTTGCATCACTCAGTTGAAGAAGGAGTTATCAGAAAACATCAACGCTGTCACTTCGATGAAAGAAGAACTTAAAGAAAAAAAAGCTGAGATCAGTAGTCTTAGTAAACAGCTAACTGATATGAGTGCTCAACTTCAGAACAGCATCAGCCTAACTGAAAACGAAGCAGCCATTTCATCACTAAGTAAGCAACATGATGAAGCGCAACAGGAATTGCTGGATCAGGTGCGAGATTTATCTTTGAAAGTTGAAACTCTGAGTAGGGAGAAAACTTCTGCTCTTGAACAGGCCAACAAATTCTCAGAGTGGAAGAAGAAAGCACAGTCAAGATTTACACAGTATCAAAATACTAGTAAAGAATTGCAGATGCAGCTTGAGTTAAAAACAAAGGAAACCAGTGAAAAGGATGAGCAGATAACTTTATTGAAGGAGGACCTTGATCAGCAAAAGAAGAGATTTGAATATTTTAAGGGAGAAGTGGAAGATAAGAAGAGCAAGATGGAGAAAAAGGAACGTAATTTACAGACTGAGTTAAAAACTCAAACAGCAAGAATTGTGGAATTAGAGGAGCATGTTACTCAGAAAACAGTTGAAATTGAGTCCTTAAATGAAGTTCTTAAAAATTACAATCAACAAAAGGATATCGAACGGAAAGAAATGATTCAGAAACTTCAACACATTCAAGAGTTAGGAGAAGAAAAGGACAACAGGGTTAAAGAGGCTGAAGAAAAAGTCTTAAGCCTTGAAAAGCAAGCATCTTCCATGAAATCTGAACTTGAATCTATGAAGAAAGAATTGGAACATGTGAATTCAATTGTGAAAAGCAAAGAAGAGGAGTTAAAGGCATTGGAAGATAGACTTGAGTTAGAAAGTGCTGCAAAATTAGGGGAACTGAAGAAAAAAGCTGAACAAAAAATTGCTGCCATCAAGAAGCAGTTGTTATCTCAAATGGAAGAGAAAGAACAGCAGTATAGAAGAGACAGAGAAAGCCATCTGAGTGAACTAAATACAAAATTGCAGGAAAGAGAGAAAGAAATTCATGTCTTGGAAGAAAAACTTAAGTCGGTGGGAAGTTCACCACAATCAGAAACATCAGTTGCACCCAGATCGGCAGAAAATGAGGCAGCATGTACTGAGCAAGAAGCAGCAGAATCCCAAGGCTGTGTGCAGAAGGCATGTGAAGAAAAAATCCGTGTTTTACAAAGAAATTTAATTGAAAAGGAAAAGCTGTTGCAGAGGCTAGAGCAGGAAAAAGAAGGCACAATTTCTTCTCATTCTGAAATGCAGTGCAAATACCAGGAGCTCTTAATAAAGATAGAACAGGCTGAAGCAAAGCAACATGAGGATCAAGTGATGATAAAGCATCTTCAAGAAGAACTTGAAGAAAAAACCAAATACTCCTTGTTAGTATCCCATCATGTAGAAGAAGAGGGAGGTAAAAATAACATAGGGGCAAAGCAGAACTTGGAGAATGTGGTTGATGGTGTCCAGAAAGCCCTCCAGGAGAAGGATTTGACCTGTCAGATCTTGGAGCAAAAGATAAAAGAGCTGGATTCCTGCTTATTGAGAGAGAGGGAAGGACATAGAGTTGAAATTGAAGCGTTGACCTCAAAACTTGAAAGATTACAGGCTCTACAACAACAGATGGATGGAAAAAGTAAACCCATGGAAGTTTTGGAAGAAAGTGCTGAAGAAAAGTCCAAATCTCATGTGGTCCAACCCAGCTTGCTTAGTAACACGGAGGCTGAGCACAATGACCTGGAGTTTAAATTGGCAGGGACGGAGCAGGAGAAGCAGAAGCTGAGCCAGGAGGTGGTTAAACTGCAGAAAGATCTTCGAATGTTGCGGAAGGAACATCAGCAAGAACTAGATATCATAAAGAAAGAGTATGAACAAGAAATGGAAGAGAAAATCAAGTAAGTTTTTTTCCGTATGAATATTTTTAAGGCAATCCTCTTTAATGAAATCTCTCTTTTTTGTGTCTAATGCAGTTAAGTTTCACAACCTAAATTTGTTAGTATCGAACATAAATATAATAAGTTAAATACCGAAGAGAACTAAAAACAATTTAAGGCAAGAGGCAGTGTTATTCCATGTCAGTTTAAGGGGAAAAAACCCTTTTCTTGCCTATGAGATCATGGTTATTAGGTACATATCCCGGTAATTATTTTTAAAATCATTTTTATATTTTTATTATATAGATGTGTATGGTGAAGAATTTTAAGTCGAAAGTAAAAATTCTCAAATCATCAGGACCATTCCCTAGAGTTAATCATAGTTTACTTACCCTTCCAGAAGTTTTCTGTGCCTGGAGACGCACACGCACACGCACATGCATGTGGATGCACACTCCCTTAAAAATGGTTGATATTGCTGAGGTCATACTATATACACTGTCGTGAAGACCAGGTAACTCTTTACAGCTTGTTTGTTGTATAACAGCAGTTAGCTCTTCATATTTTTGGTACTCAGACAGGAGCAGGAAGATCTTGAGTTGAAGCACAATTCCACACTAAAACAGCTGGTGAGGGAGTTTCATACACAGCTGGCACAAAAGGAACAGGAGCTGGAACTGACCATAAAAGAGACCATTGGTAAGTAAACTTTTAAATTCAATTAAAAAACAAATCAGAATCAGCAGAGACTATTTATAATTTAAGTTTATTCTTTTCACACTGTGCTAAGTGCTTAAAGTAATTATAAACTGGAGAAAAAAATGATTCTTGCCCAAGAAAGTTCTCTGATGGGAAACTGTGCTGCCTGAAAGTGGCTTGCCTGTCAGAGGGGAGGAGCAGGTGGAAGAACCTGAAAGCATTACCTGATTAATTACCTAATGAAGACACTTCTGCTCCGTGAGAAGGGTACATTTGGTCAATTTGATCAATTGATTTTAATCAAATTTAATTTGGAACAAGGGTTCTTACAGAAATTGGGGTACAGATACTAATTCTTACCTAATATGTTTTCTTGTATGTGTCCATTTTTTATTTATTAGATAAAGCCCAGGAAGTGGAGGCTGAACTTTTGGAAAGCCATCAAGAGGAGACAAATCAGTTATATAAAAAAATTGTAGAGAAAGAAGATGATCTAAAAAGAACAGCCAAAAGATATGAAGAAATCCTTGATGTACCTTATTTTCTCTCTTGAAAATTAATTGTAATAGATTTCATGGTAGTGCTAAAGAAGATAGGCTGTCAGATTTCCTGTTTTTTATAGTGTAGAAGGTTTTTTTTGGGGGGGGGAGTCAATATTATTCAAATTAGTATTTCTCTATTGTTTGCAGATTTATAAGGAGTCTAATTGATTTCTGCTAGGATTGTAATTTTCTGATCAGTTTCTGCTAACCAGGCATATAGGCCACTTGAAGCAACAGTGAGTTAGTAAGGGGAAGAATGGATTCTCTTCTATGTCTTTCTTCCAAATTCAGACCAAATTGTGAGAGCACCAGACTAAGAATTGAGAGCTTGTGCTTGGGACAGGTAGTGTATGTATGAGCTTTAGCTGGGAACTTTCCAGGAGGGCCAGTTAACTGTATTTAATCCCTACCCAATTTGCATAGGTTTTGTTGCTCTCAAGGGAGAAAAAAAAGAAAAAAAAAAAAAAAAAAAGGAATACATCAGCCAAATCTTTTATATGTAGTTTGGAGGCTAAATTCAGTGTACTTATTCTAGTGGTGGATTAGTATTGTCATTTTTGTGTATGAAGATAAGCCATGAATGCTAGTGAGTATTTGGACTGCAGAACATTTTTGAATGTAAAGCAGTGTAAATTATTCTTTGCTGGATTGCAGATTCTTTTTTTTTTTAAATCATATTTATTTATTTATTTTTGGCTGAGTTGGGTCTTCGTTGCTGCGTGCAGGCTTTCTCTAGTTGCGGCGAGCAGGGGCTACTCTTCATTGCAGTGTGCAGGCTTCTCATTGCAGTGGCTTCTCTTGTTGCAGAGCACGGGCTCTAGGCGCTCGGGCTTCAGTAGTTGTGGCATGTGGACTTCAGTAGTTGTGGCTTGTGGGCTCTAGAGCTCAGGCTCAGTAGTTGTGGCGCATGGGCTTAGCTGCTCCGCGGCATGTGGGATCCTCCTGGACCAGGGCTCGAACCCGTGTCCCCTGCACTGGCAGGCGGATTCTTAACCACTGCACCACCAGGGAAGCCCAGTAGATTCCTTAGTTACTGCAAGCCTTATTTCACTATGTGCTAAAAACCATTTGATGATTAGGAATGCATAAATTAGAGAATCATGCCTCAGCTGACTATGGCAGCAGTAGAACTCTGAGCCAGGAACAGATTCTAGTAGTAATTATTTTATTTTATTTTTTAAAGTTTTATTTATTTTTGGCTGCACTGGGTCTTCGTTGCTGTGTGCAGGCTTCCTCTAGTTACGGTGAGCAGGGGCCACTCTTCGTTGTGGTGCGTGGGCTACTCTTCATTGCGGTGCGTGGGCTATTCTTCGTTGCAGTGCATGGGCTTCTCATTGTGGTGGCTTCTCTTGTGGCAGAGCACAGGTTCTAGGTGCGGGGGCTTCAGTAGTTGTGGCGTGCAGGCTCTAGAGCACAGGCTCAGTAGTTGTGGCACACGGATTTAGTTGCTCCGTGGCATGTGGGATCTTCCTGGACCAGGGCTTGAACCCATGTCCCCTGCATTGGCAGGCGGATTCTTAACCACTGCAACACCAGGGGAGTCCCAGTTATTGTAAATGTATTTGAAAAAGCTGAAATTACCTGATACATGAATATAAATGTTACCTTCGTGTAATTTTTGAGCTTTAGACCTCACTGTGAAAGAAAATTTGATTTCACATTTTCCTATACTTACCTAGGGTATATTACGTGAAGCTTTAAAAATTACTGTTGTTTCTTGAATGCTTAGAGAATGTTGGGATTGGAAGATACATTACAGCTAGTTTAGGTTCATCTTCTATTTTTGTGTTTTTTTGTGTGTGGCAGAAGCAGGAGAGTGAGTTCAGCATAGTCAAATGATTTCCCTAAAACTACACATGGCGAGTGGTAGAGCACTGATTCTTCATTAGCTTCATATATTTTATAAAGGCTTCTCCCTAAGGAAAGAACTTGGATAGTTAAGTCAGGGAGCTTCATTCACAGGGGATAAACTGTGTCACGGCTGTAGTGTTCCCTTTTGTGAACTACTTCTGTCTCTGAATGTGTGTGTATGGGGGTGTGGAGGTAGCACACAGTACACTTTCCAAGGTCACAACAAGCCTCTGTAGGTGGAGGGGTGAGTGAACAGGGAGACAGGTAGCAGTTAATCTCTGGTATCGTTCCTCCTGGAAGATCTGCTGTTTATTAGAAAATAAATGGTCCTCCCAGCTTCAGGCTTGGAGTAAGTAGAGCAAGCGGGCAGGAAGTAGAGGGTGGGCCAGAGGACTCAGGTGGACTCTTCCCCAGGCCCCTTCCTGCGCCTTAGACCAGCACTGCCCATTAGAAATACAATGCAAGCCACAAACGGGATTTAAAATTTTCTGGTATTCACATTAAAAAAAAAAAAAGAAAGAATCAGCTGACTTTAATTTTGGTAATAATGTTAGCTGACCCGTTATATCCAAGACATTATCATTGCAAGATGTAGTCAATATAAAAATGATATATGTATTAATTCTCTGAGATTCAGTGTGCTTCCACGTTGGCAGCCTGTCTCAGTTTGGATTAGTCACATTTCAAGTGCTTATAGCCAGAGTACAGGGTGGCCAGTGATTAAATCGGCAGTCCCCATCCAAATACATACTCTGTCTTGAAGAGTTTTTTTTAAAACAGCATATATTGCTAAAAGCGGTATTACCAATTCTAGGTAAACACCATATTGCTTTGCTTCTGAGACATATTCTCTTACCATTCTCCAATTTAAAGTTTTCCAGAATTGGAGTTTTATATGGATTTGTATGTATTATGTAGTACTTTTTTTTCCCTCTGAAAAAGCTGTTATCAGATTGATGATTTGTCTTAATGATGACATTGTAGAATGCTATATTTTTCTCATCCATTAAAATAATTCCATGATTTGTTAATAGCACAGTGGAGCACAGAGACATTTTCATTTTCTTGCTTTCACTGTCTTAGCTCACATTCTTACCGTTGCTTGGAGGAAACTGAGAACTTTGTCATCCTAGATTCACGCCTCCCATCTTCCTCAGCCCCTCACACATCCACATCCACACATTTTTTAGGACATGAAATCTGCTTATCTTCCCTGATTTCCTAGGCAGGGAAGTCACCTTTCTCCCTTTAATTGTGGATCTCCAGCACATTCTCCAACATGTAACAGACTCTCAACTGTAGTGTTTCATTGACTCCCATTGCCTGTTCCTCTCCTCTTAACTCCACCGCTTCTGCCATGGTCTAGGCTGCCGTATTCCATTTGGTCTGGCCTACTGTATTAATTTCCTGCCTGGTCTCCTTGCTCTTGTTTTTTTTCCCCGGAAAGTATTCGTCTCTTCCTGTGAGAGTTATTGTCTATCTGGAAACAAAAGGGGATCATATCCCTTCCCCTGAACACCTGCAGTGGCTTCCCTTGTCCTGGTGACCCCATCCTCCGGGTCAGTCTGTGGTCTAGCTGAGCTCAGCTTTAGCTCCTTCTTCGCTGTATTTCACCTCTGCTAACGCTTTTCCTGGTGCTTCAAGAGTACATTCTCACACTTCATGAGTTAGTGCAGCTGTTGTCATCTCTTTTGGCAGTTTTCTTTAAAAGTTTTAAATTTATCTTGTATTCAGAAAAAAAACATTTGAATCAAATGTATTCCATGGTTTAAAGATCAAAATAATATTTAAAAAAGGTATACTTGGAGAATGGTCTATCATGAGAATTGCATCCAAACTTTTCTCTGTATTCTACACCCTGTTCCCCTTCTCCCTCCACAGGTAACCATTAGTTTCTTATGTAATAATGTTCCTGTGTTTCCTTATGCAAACAGAAACAAAAATGAAATATATTCTTGTTTTTTCCCTGTCCTACCCCAGAGTTAGCTTTTTGAATATGCTTTTCTGCATCATATTGTTTTCAGTTAGTTTTTTTGAAACCCCTTAAAATAGAATTAATTGCACCTGTCTTCCTTTGGTACTTTATTACTTCACTTACGACATGTTACTTTTGTCATACATACATATGTGTGTAAGAATGTATTAATGTGTCTGTCCTCTCCTCTAGACTATTAGCATCTTGTAGGCAGGGATCTTGCTGTTCATCTCTAGTCTTGAGGACCTAGCCAAATGCTTGGCACACACTAGACACTTGGTAAAATTTTTTTTTTTTTTTTTTTGCGGTACGCGGGCCTCTCACTGTTGTGGCCTCTCCCGTTGCGGAGCACAGGCTCCGAACACACAGGCTCAGCGGCCATGGCTCACGTGCCCAGCCGCTCCGCGGCATGTGGGATCCTCCCAGACCGGGGCACGAACCCGTGTTTCCTGCATCGGCAGGTGGACTCTCAACTACTGCACCACCAGGGAAGCCCGACACTTGGTAAATTTGAAGGAAGTGACACCTGGTAGGGCAAAGGGAGCATTCATTCGGGGAGATTGGCTGGTGACATCTGAAAGGAGTTGAGTCTCACAAGTAAGGGAGCTGACTGCCTTCGTCCCAACCTCAGAGCAGTCTCACTGGGAGGGAGTAGCTCTTACAGCTACATTAGATATAAAACTGGTTTCTTTTTGACATTTACTGTATTTTAGTGATTTGGTTTTGGCATAATAGTCTTTAAAACATAATTTCCATGTATGTGCATAAATATTCAGTTTAGTTTTTCTTACTGTTTTTACTTCAGAGCAAGCAGTATTGCTTTCTTTCCCCCTTCAAGAAGACAGAAAGCTTTTACAAAGGAAATTATAACTGTGTCTTAAATTAGAAACAACACGTCAAGGATTCTTTTCCAATTCTTAGAGGGCTTGCTTTCTATTGGTATCTCCCAGCTGCCAAAGGCAATGTCAGGCATAGCTGATTGTCATATCAGAATCTGGACCTAACTGAATAAGTAGCTGTAAGAGGTGATCCTTTCAAACAAGACTAGACCACACTGACACAGACATCCACACAGGATATGTGATGGTAGAATGAAAACAGTAAGTAAACCAGGATTGCAGGCAGTTACAGATTTACAGTAGTTTCTGATCAGTGGTGTTTTAGGGGTGGAGGCTGGGTTAGAGTGCCTTGGGCAGATGTTGAAGGAGGCTATTTACTTTGCTTATGTTGAGAGAAGGGGTTCGTTCTTTTTTAGTTGGTCTAAGTTTCATGACAAGTGGTATTTAAAGTTAGATTTTCGAGGTGTCTTGTGGTTTGTTGCTTTATTTTGTGCCTTGGGGCCTGTTTTTGTTTTTGAGAATGATGTTTCTTGGTTCTTAAATCAGATAGCTGCTTGTGGCTGTTTTCCTGTTTAGTCTCTTACTCAGCAAGCACTTGTCCTGTCTTCATTACTCAAATCTGATCAATATTCCAATGTCAAATATTCTTTTAGCACAGAGGTTGTGCTAAAAGGTTATTGCAAGATTTATAAGAGCAAGGAGAGGTCTGGACTGCTTTGTACAGCAAACGATGGCAATTATCAAGACAAATGAAAAAATTTAAGGGTGGGCAACAGCCTTTTACCAGGGCAGTCAGAACAGAAGAGAGAATGATTTGTATGCCAAATTTTATAAAAAGGATTTTTGAACCAGTAAATCATGTATTACTTTTGCAGCCTTGTCTGTTTTCTGCAAAGTTCAGGGCAAATGGATACATTACGTTAGTTACCAATACATTGGACAGTAATTTTTTTTCAAAAATAGATCTTAGTTGAACATTTTACTCCAAAGAACTGCTGGTATGGTTTGCAGGCAGATGTGAAGGGAACGTACAGGTTTGCTAACTAGGGCAAAGAACCATCTTGATTTGTGCAGCCCTTCCCAAGGGGCTGAGAAAAAACCTCCACAACTTCTTGTGATCAGTGAGTTGCCAGCTGGTTGAGCAGTGCTGTGCATAAAGCTAGTTTATATTGGATATTTTCTAGAAATCAAATCCTAGTGTAGAAAAGGCCAAAGTCTTAAAACAGAGATTCTGTTTTACAGTTCTGTCACAACGCTGTTATACACCTAAGTGTTGCTTAAACCTTGGAACCCTAGTTTAAGGGGAAAGAAACAGCTTGATGAGCTTTATGGGGTGGGGGCAGGAGGACTGAGGGTGGGAAAAGTCATCCTAGGAAGAGTGAGCAGCTTTTAAAAGGGCTTGGAGTTAAAAGTGGGGCGTGAAGGAAGGTGTTTAGAGCACAGTAATGAATTACAGTAAAAACAGTGGTTTGTGTTTCCAAAAATGTGTAGGTGTTGGTTTCTCCTACAAAGGTAGTTTTCTCTAGATCATGTTGCCTCTTTACTGCATTCTTTTTGATATGTTTGTTAATATTTTTTTTTATTCTAAAGGCTCGTGAAGAAGAAATGACTGCAAAAGTAATAGATCTACAGACTCAACTTGAGGAGCTGCAGAAGAAATACCAGCAAAGGCTAGAGCAGGAGGAGAACCCTGGCAATGATAAAGTGAGGGGAACTGGACTTGGCTCCATACATTCCTTGAAAACATTGTCGTTTTCACTGGCTCGCCTACTAACATACCTACCTACCTCATCTAATCCTAACAAAAGACTTTCAAGAGGGAGATTCCTGCCTCTCTTTTATAGACAGTGAAACTGAGGTTCAAAGAGGTTAAATAAAATGTTGAAGCTCACACAATAAATATTCTATTGAGAATATAAAACCAATCTTCCAGACTTCAGAGCCTAGGGTGTTTCTGTGATACCTGTGCTTCTCAGTCTTGCCTGTGGAAAGAACAGCAGAGGAGAGTTAACCTCATAGCCCTGGGGCAGAGCCAAAAATGGTCCATAGAAAGTATGATAATTTTAGATTTTTATATTTTGTGCTAAGAATTCATATAAATTTTACATTCTCTATAACAGCAGTTCCCAACCTTTTTGGCACCAGGGACTGGTTTTGTGGAAGACAATTTTTCCACGGACCAGGGGGTGGGGTGGGGGGAGGATGGTTCAGGCGGTAATATGAGCGATGGGGAGCGGCAGATGAAGCTTTGCTTGCTCACCTCCTGCTGTGAGGCCTGGTTCCTAAGAGGCTGTGGACCGCTCCACGGCCTGGGGGTTGGGGACCCCTGCTCTATAATATATCTTTATTTGTAGTTACATAAAAATGTTTTTAGTTGTATACCTTTGAGAAAAACAATGTCTCCTTTTCTCCTTTGTTAACAGACCAGTTGTAGATGCAATGCGATTATTTTGGAAAATTGCACTGAATTCAAAGAGATCTGGCACTCCATATCCAGGCTTTTTTTTTTTTTTTTTTTCTTTTTTTAATAATCCCAATCTTTAAGTAAAACTGATGCTATGAAAGGCCATGTTTACCTTGTGGCTTCCTGTCCTGCTGGGCACCCCAACAAGTGCACACCCACAGGGCTTGTGGGCCCCCATTCAAGAATCCGGGCAGTGTACCGTTGTACATCTAAAATGTTCTCACTCATTCCAGTATGGTCTTCATAGCTCTGTCATAAGGGTCTTGGGAAAGGTGGACACATTCATGGCTTCATCCTTTAGTTATAGAGGATTCATTACAGAAGTCAGTGACCAGAAAGCAATTTTATAGACAACCAATTACATGGATCACTTTTCCAAAATGGAGAGAAGAGGACTTTATAAAAGGCTTTGCTATGCTGTGCTGCTTGGTACATATATCTTGATTATTAGCAACGACCAAAGCTGAGTTGACTCTTTCTCTCTTTCTTTACTAGCTACTAAGTTAGTTCTATTATTTTAGGTGGGTTTTTTTTGCCATTTGGTCACAATATGAATATACTTGGTGCTATTAAATGTTGCCTCCTATGAGCCAAATAAGTGTATTCTACTCTGTAACATGTTCTTTTCCTTAGTATCAAATTAAGTATTAATGTTGCATAAAGTGGCACTGAGGCCTGTGTCAAGATGCCATAGAGTATTGAAACATTATGAAATTAATATTCAGGAGGTCTTTTGAATCCTTTACCTTGTAGCATAAGAAAGGAGAAACTATCCTTAACTTTTATTTCTACTCTAAAAAATATTTTTCTATTTTATTCTTTATGAATTTTTATTCTTTTCCTTTTTGAGCATCTTTTGGTGCTTCTGGGATATCTTGAACTACATGTCAGTGTTGAGTTCAATGGAAAATAATTTGTGATTATTGTGTAGAGTGGATTCCCAGAAATGGTCCTTCAGAATTTTCCTTAAAGGGCCCATATGCTATAAATAGATGTTAATATGTTTAATTTTTTGAAATTGCACAAATAATAGATGAATACATGCTTGTTAAAAAAAAAAGTCAGATAATACAGAAGTATATAGATAAACCCTTCCTGGTGGGTACCTCCTTTTCCCAAGTGGTAATCATTGTTAGGAGTTTGGTAGGTGACTTTCCAGTCATTTTTTTTGTGTGTTTACCTATCTTTATGTATATTTACATTTTAATAGTTTGTATAGCAGCCTAGACCAGGTTTAAAAGCAAATATTTAAAGTTGTCTCATCTCAAATCTAACCACTCTCTTAAGACTGTAACACTAAATTTTTGTTTCCTTGTAATTTCATATTGCTCCATTTTATTATTTCTTGTAGATTTTATTATATGCACTAATATTTTTTTTTCTTTTCCATTTTTAGGTAACAATTATGGAGCTACAGGTAAGACTAGTTTTGCATTGAATTTGAGTGAAGGTAGTCCATTTTCAGGAGCATTCTGTACTTCAGGTTAAAACATAAAGAGACTTGTTCTCAGGAGAAATTTACCAAGCAGTATAGAAATGTGTCCAGGCAATGATGAAACCCATATGCATCTCAGATCTGACTTCTTGTTCTTTCAGACACAACTAGCACAGAAGACTACTCTAATCAGTGATTCAAAGTTGAAAGAGCAAGAGTTCAGAGAACAGGTACAGGTCTAATTGGTGCCTTTTATTTTGAGATGACTTCCTTGATTTCTATTAGTATGTTCTTGGAACTCATTTAGCTAGTTTTTAAAAAAAAGAACGGATTTAATACTCATTTATTAATTGACTTTGCAATCTTGTCTTACACAGGAAATTTTATTCCCAAACCTGAAGGTGCTAGAGCATATCTTTATAAATTTGTGATCACATATATTTAAACAAGAACATTTGCATTCATATTATCTAGTTCCAGAACATTCCATCACCTACAAAAGGAAGCCCCATACCCATTAAGCTGTCACTCCCTATTACCTCCTCCCCCCAGCCTTTCACAACCACAAATCTGCTTTTTGTGTCTGTGGATTTACCTATTCTGAGTATTTTATATAACTAGAATCATATTAATACATGAGCTTTTTATTTTTTATTTTTTATTTATTTATTTATTTTATTTATTTTTTTTTTTGCGGTACGCGGGCCTCTCACTGTTGTGGCATCTCCCGTTGCGGAGCACAGGCTCCAGACGCACAGGCTCAGCGGCCATGGCTCACGGGCCTAGCCACTCTGCGGCATGTGGGATCTTCCCAGACCAGGGCACGAACCCCTGTCCCCTGCATCGGCAGGCGGACTCTCAACCACTGCGCCACCAGGGAAGCCCAATACATGAACTTTTTAATCTGACTTCTTTCACTTAGCATGATTTTTTTTTTTTTTGCGGTACACGGGCCTCTCACTGTTGTGGCCTCTCCCGTTGCGGAGCACAGGCTCTGGACGCACGCAGGCTCAGCGGCCATGGCTCACGGGCCTAGCCACTCAGCGGCATGTGGGATCTTCCCGGACCGGGGCAAGAACCCATGTTGCCTGCATCGGCAGGCAGACTCTCAACCACTGCGCCACCAGGGAAGCCCTAGCATGATGTTTTTAAGGTTCATTCATGTTGCAGCATATATCAGTACCTCTGCTTTTTATGGCAGAGTAATATTTCATTGTATAGGTATACCACATTTTGTTAACTCATTCATCAGTTGATGTATGTTTGAGTTGTTTCTACCTTCTGCCTATTGTGAATAGTGCTGCTAGGAACATTGTTTACAAGTTTTTGTTTGAATACCTGTTTCGTTCTTTGGGTTATGTACTCAGGAGTGGAATTGCTAGATCATATGGTAATTATATGTTTAGCTCTTTGAAGACCCATCAAACGGTTTTACATTGTGGACACCATTTTACATTCTGACCACAAAGTATAAGAATTTCAACTTCTCCACATCTTCCCCAGCAAGTGTTTTGATTATAACTATCCTAGTTGCTATGAAGTGATATCTCATTATGGTTGTAATTTGTACTTCCCTAGTGACTAATGATGTTCAGCATCTTATTATTTGTATATCTTCTTTGGAGCAATATCCTTTGCTCATTTTTAAGTTGGGTCATTTGTTTTTTGTTGTTGTTGAATTGTAAATGTACTTTATATATTCTGGATATAAGTCCCTCATTAGATATATGATTTGCAAATATTTTCTCCCATTCTGTGGGTTGTCTTTTCACTTTCTTGATAATGTCCTTTGAGGCACAAACATTTTATATGTTTTTTCTTTCGTTGTCTCTGCTTTTGGTGTCATATCTAAGAAACCATATGTATTAATTTTTTTTGGCCTATATCCTGTATTCAGCATTAAGAAAATCTAGTGGCTACAGCAGTTTTTTTTTTTTACATATGATTTCCATATGAATCTTATGATATGATTGGAATATTTGTTATTTTTAGATTCACAATTTAGAAGATCGTTTGAAGGAATATGAAAAGAATGTATATGCAACAACTGTGGGGACACCTTACAAAGGTAGGAATGATCTCTCATCATGTTATCTATGATTATCTTGTATTGGTGGACTTCTGGATGATTTTCATTTTTGTCTTTGCTAATCTCATTCTTTACAAGGAATGTATTTTACCTTTGTAATTCACCAGTAACAACTAGTTTTATGGCAAGAATGGTAGTAATCTAAAAATTAATGCATATTTGTTGTAAAAAAAAAATGCTGCCATTTTAAGTGAAACTGCAAGTTTCCACTTCATTCTCCACTCTCCAGCTGAACCTAGTTTACAATTTACATATATTTTTCCAGACTCTTCTGTGTGTATCCAGACGTTTATGTAATCCACTATATATACCCATACAAACTCAGAGTTACATATTTTAGATGCTTCTGTTTTCTACTATTACAATAATGCTGTAATTGCTATTTTTAAACCAGGATTTAAGGAGAAAATAATTCATAAAAGTATTTATTTCAAGGTGGGGAAGGATGATTTGGAAGTATTACTCTGTTGACTTAAGTTATGTATGCCACTTACAAAGGATTCTAAAGATGAGCTTGAGTCTTTATGTAGTTGTTCCCTTGAAATAGTCATGACTTCAAATAATCTCTGAATAATCTAACAATTTCCCATTCTCAGTTTCACTGCCTCACTGCATTAAGAATAGTTTTATTTTGCTAAATGTTTTGTAAACCTTTCTGCTTTTTCATGGGAGGCACTGGGGCATGAATCTAAACCATTTCACATTCTTTTGTGTTTTTGAAAGCTCTTACTGTTGTGAAATAACATAAGACATTATACAGTTTTTAATTAAACAAGGACTTTCTTTAGATTCTTTCCAAAACACACTTCAAAAAGAAGAGAAAACCAACTTGGGAGTTTCCTATGGCTCATTGCAGAGAAAATTCCTGCTACAAAGACTGTTTGCCATAGCTAAGTCAACATATGTGATTCTTAGCATAGAACTGCTAAATCAGTGCCCAGCCGTGCATAGGGAATAGTATTGATTCTTTTTTTTTTTTTTTAGTTTCAACTTAAGAATTTCATACTTAATTTTCCTTTTTTCTCAGTTTTAAATTGTAAAATGAACACATATGTACAGTTTTTAAAATAACTGACACATATATAATACTAAGTATCAGGCACTGTTATAAAACACATTTTGTCTATCAACTCATCTAATCCTGTCAACAATCCAAGCAGTCTGTTTGAATTGGCACATTAATCTCTTTGCTATGCTTTTAGATGTTTCTTGGTGCAGAAGGCTTTTCAGATTACCTAGTGTGCCATACTTCTGGAAGTGGATGCAAGTATAGACTTCACATAATGCATAATTTTGAATTTATTCAAATTAAAGTTTGTCACAGTGTGACTTCATATACCTGAACTGTATTTATTCTTTAGTTTTAGATTGAAATGGAGCTTGATTAATAGATGAACTGTAAATTATATGACAGTCTTTTTAAGATGTTGAATCAAAGTATCTGAAAACCACTATATTGGCATTATTATTTCATGCATTTTCAAGTTATTTTATCTACATTGTGTTTCAGAACTGTTTAGAAAACTTGATTTAAACTTCAGTGCTTTCAGGTTTGGAATACTAGAAAATCTAGAATACTATTCTGAGTTACTAAACTCTTAAACAAAATAAAAATGATCATTTTAGTCATTGTAGGATATCTGAAGCCAACCACATAATATTTAGGAAAGAAATACCAGTTCTGAGGAATCTTTGTATTCCCTAGGTCTAGTATTTTTTTTTTTTGGTGGTACGCGGGCCTCTCACTGTTGTGGCCTCTCCCGTTGAGGAGCGCAGGCTCAGCGGCCATGGCTCACGGGCCCAGCCGCTCTGCGGCATGTGGGATCTTCCTGGACCAGGGGACGGACCCGTGTCCCCTGCATCGGCAGGCGGACTCTCAACCACTGTGCCACCAGGGAAGCCCATAGGTCTAGTCTTTTTAAATTGCCATGCCAGAAAGATGAAGAAGAAGTTTGAGGATGGGGGGAATGTGAGAAATAAAATTGCTATAATAATTCTTGTTTTCTCTTCCAAGGGAAAAATACCAACTGGAATGCTTAGTGTATATGTAATGTAATGCAGTACAATACTTACAGTGTAACACAGTTAATACAAGAGTGATGCCTCTCTCTTTGTTCCTTTGATTGTCTTTTAGTTTGTCTTTTTCTAAGTAATAAGTAGCTTATCTGGGTTTTTTTTTTTTTTTTTGCGGTACGCGGGCCTCTCACTGCTGCGGCCTCTCCCGTTGCGGAGCACAGGCCCCGGATGTTCAGGCTCAGCGGCCATGGCTCACGGGCCCAGCCGCTCCGCCGCACGTGGGATCCTCCCGGACTGGGGCACGAACCCGCGTCCCTTGCATCGGCAGGCGGACTCTCAACCACTGCGCCACCAGGGAAGCCCGCTTATCTGGTTTTGTCTTTACAGTTTGATCTGTTTTTTTTTTTTTTATTTGACAGGTCGCAGTTTGTACCATACTGATGTCTCGCTCTTTGGAGAACCTACTGAGTTTGAGTATTTGCGAAAAGTGCTTTTTGAGTATATGATGGGTCGTGAGACTAAGGTATAAATCATGTCTGGTGATTTGGCATGTGGTTTAATTTAAAAGGAAATATGTCCCATTTTTAACACACATATTGATGTTGTATGTTTACTATTAGCAGACCATACATGCTGATAGTAAGCAATAGGTAATTGTGTTATTGCTCTTTGTTTGCAAAAGTGAATTGGCAGATCTTGCTTATATTTGTTACATTTATAAAATATTAATTTAGAAAATACTGGTGGATGATGCTAAAAAATAAAAACAAAAATTTCATTAACTTAATACTTTGTGAAGCATGTGACTGTTCTTTTGACTTCAAATCTTAAAGGTAGGAGAATAGTTGGAGACTATTTCATGGAGACGTGAGGATAGCGTGGCTAGTATTGGAAATGGTCCTAATTAAGAATGACTATGTAGGGATATTTAGAAATATTTTACTTTAGTCACTGTAAGAAAGTTACTCTTGCACATATGGAATATTAACCGTTTAAAAATAACCACACTGTGTAAGTAATAATGCTTGGTTAATTTGTTTTCTAGAATGTTAAATTTATTATAAGGTCCTTGAGTATAGAGTCTTGTCTTACTGTTATTTGTATCCCCAGCAGTGTTTTTAAAAGAGCCTTATATCAGACATTTTGTAAATATATCTTTAATTGAATTGATTGCATTTAGGGAAATTCATGAGCCTTTTCTCAAAGTTTTTCATTTGAAGCAATTTCTGTTTCTGATATTGTTTCAACTTTTTACCTTCATGAACTTTTACATTGTCCTTATATGTTGGCTGAGAATGGGATAATGAGTTTTCTAAGAAATTATCAGTGTTTTAATTTATGGGTCTGTGGGGGTTACTGAGTGCTAAACCAGTTCAGGAATTGATTTGGTAAATATATTTAAGACCTAAAAATTAGGACATAAAATCTCTTAAGAATGTTATGGGGACTTCCCTGGTGGCGCAGTGGTTAAGAATCCACCTGCCAATGCAAGGGACATGGGTTCGAGCCCTGGTCCGGGAAGATCCCACGTGCTGCGGAGCAACTAAGCCCGTGCGCCACAACTACTGAGCCTGTGCTCTAGAGCCCACGAGCCACAACTGCTGAGCCCATGTGCCCCAACTACCGAAGCCCACGTGCCTAGAGCCCATGCTCCGCAGCAAGAGAAGCCACCACAGTGAGAAGCCCGCGCACCACAACAAAGAGTAGCCCCCACTTGCTGCAACTAGAGAGAAGCCCGCATGCAGCAACGTAGACCCAACACAGCCAAATAAATAAATAAAATAAATTTATTTTTAAAAAAAAAGAGGTTGTTATGAATCGTAGATTCAGCTAAACACCAGGAGCTATAGGGCTAGAAGTCGTTTGAATCCTTGACACTATAGAAGTCTAATTTCACTGTATCAGATAGTTCAAATTAAAGTAATATCTAGTGTGATCCTGAACATGAATCATAGGCGGGATATATTAATTCACAGTAATTCAGTACCTTTATTCTTAAGGACTTTTTTTTTTTTTTTTAATTCAGAGGCTAGCTAAAACTCATTTTCTCCTTATCTTTAAAAAACAAAGCCAATGAAATGTAACTTTCTCTTACTATGTCCTGATTGGATAGCAGCCTGTATTTGAGGTGGGGTAGATAGTTTAAAGTTACCTTGTTATTGCAGGGACGGGGGAAAAGCATTTCTTTATGAACAGTAGCCTTTCAGGAACTTCAGCTACTCTGGTTTATTCATTGAATCTAAAGCTATCATCCCAGAGTTGTTGCTAAATAAATTATTTAGTCTTTTCTCGATTTGCAAAATGAAGAGAGTGTGACTGCCTCAGCCTGTATCTTCTGGATGTTGTGAGCCTGTGTGGGGTGAGATCCCTACAGAGTTTGAGTCCTGGAGAAAGGCCCAGCCCAGCATGAGATACATTCTGGAGTGGTACCAGTTCAGCCAGGTCTCAGGGCTCTGCATTTCCTCCTAGGCTGTGACTTGGGAGACAGCTAGAAGGGACGCTCTTGAGGCATGGGCAGCCCCAGCTAACACATGGCTGGGAATCTGTGTTGAGGCGGCTCTCTTTATCTTCAGCATTCAGTGTGCTTTTCTGGTTACCAAGACTGAGTAGTCTTTTATTCTGCCATCACATTTTATAAGTCAATATTGAAAATTGGCAGTAGATATTCAGTTTAATTTACTTCATATTTATTGAGCACTTACTGTATGTGGTCCTTTGTTTATCACCATGATGGATAAGGAGATGAAAATTTACACCATCCCTAACTTTAAGGTGTTTACCATATAGTGAAAAAGTGGAGCTGTTTACTAAGCACAGTATGATGCAGACCATAGCACAGTGTCCTCATGTTTACTTGTGGGAAGGTCAAGGACATCATGGAGAAGGAGATGTATATACAGGCCTTTACAAGGGGGCAGAGATTTTGATAGATGAGCTCAGAGAGGAGGAAAGCCCAGACAACGTCCAAGACAGGAAATTGAGTGTGGGCTTTGGAATGACACGTAGTCCGCTCCAACTAAAATACCAGCTCTATGAGGTGGAAGTGACTCTGCTTAGGGCTGCAGGGTGTGGAGGGCCTGGAGTGTTCTCAGAGTTTTACCTGTAGGTTGTTGGGGGGCAGCCCTGAAATTTTTTGAGCAGGGGTTGACAGAATCAGAGCTATTTTTAGACATTTGTTGATTTGCCTAATTTCCATACATTCACAAAGAATTTGAAATGGAGACCAGGTTGTGGTTTTAGAACAAGCCAGAGTATATTGTGGCCTTTGTGATTTGATCACCATCTGCCGTTGTTTCTTGTCCAGTAGGATCTGTATGTCATCCCACCTGTCTTTCTTCATCTGCTTTTGCACACAGTGTTCCCTATTTGATGAGGCAGATGATTTTTTTTTAAGACCACATATGTGATACACATTCTTATAGTACGAAGTTAAGTAAATTCCCCTTCTTTCTTCTGTCCTTGCACTTTCTTTTTCTTGGGTTTTGAGCCTCCATGCTATTTTTGATGCTTAAATTCAGCCTGTTCTCCTTTTCAATAGAAAGTGTTTCTCATTCTACCCTTTACTGACTCTCACTAAAGAAAACATGGCAGGAGAGGCCACTTCTAAACCAGGTGGCTCATTTGAACTTTTCCTTACTTCCCAGGACCTAAGGATATTGTACGTAGAGTAGACAGTCTGATTTCTTTCCCAAGGTTCAGCAGAGAGCCTGGGCTTTCCATTAAAGTGTTTTCTGACAAGCCAGGGAAGAGCTTTTAAGTCTTTACTAGGTAATCAACTGCAAATGCTGCATCAGTGATAAATTTAGAGGTGGGTTTCCCATTTAACATTGTCTAGAAGTGTGAAGAGGCAACTAGCCACATTTGGATTTTTGTTTTGTTTTGTTTGTTTTTGTTTTTGTTTTGACAGACATGTTTGTGCCTTGATGTGCACTATGCAGTTTCATAGTGAATATAAATGGGATTTTGGGTTTCTGAACTTGTTAAGCTATTGAAATTAAAGAAATGTTCCCTATAATTGTGAATCCCTGAATTTTAGATTTTTGGTACTTCCTAAAAACAGTCTTCATAGATAGTATACCAGAAACCATTTAAAATTTCCAGAGTGCTAATAAAAAGAATATTGAAATAGTTGCTACTTCATATTTCTCTTCCCATTTCATGCCACATATACGCTTGGTTTCTAGACTTCAGTTTAGCACAGAAGATTCTGTTCTGTCTAGGCAATACAATTTAAAGGATGAGGAAGGAAGGAGGGCTGAAACTAAAATCTTGCTCTTTGTGGGGTTTGTGGTTGAGGAATAGTATTAGTTGATCTGCTAGTTGAAATAAATATTAGAAATATGTAAAATGCCTTGCCTAGGCTTAGCACATAATAAGAATTTTTTTAAATGTTAGTTCTTCTCCTTCCTGGAAATAATTATACTTTTTTTCTAATGATGTGTGTTCCTAAAATTTTAGTTAACTCTATTATGTCATCTTTTGCTCAGTGACCTTCTGTAGTCACACAGTCTTCCCCGCCCTGCCATACACACACACAGTCTTGTAACTATGAACAAAGAATGTTAGATCAGCTTTCTGGTGAGCCTTCCATCCTCTGTAGCACTACAGTAAGTAGTACTACTACTAATCCTCAGGAGAGCACTAGTACCTGAATTTGTATGTAAGCACTGAACTTGTTATCCTACTTATTTCATAAGTGGTATCTTCTTTCCTCTCTGTCTCCCTCAAACCATCTCATCTTGATACAAAATAGGGAATTTCAACCTTTGAGGAGAATTTTCCACGAGCTTATGGGTGACAGTCTGACTTACGGTATATTTATTGAGATCTGCACAGTTTATGATCTTGTTTGCAAGCCACCATGTGTAATGTTCTGATTCATCCTGTTTTCTACCAAACAAAACATCTTGTGTTTATTTAAAATGTAATTTGTATTTCTATTAGGCTGATGTGCTGCATGTATTAAAAAATACCTATAAGCATGTTCATGTTCATGCAGTAGCCCGTGTTTATGAGATATATGATGTGATTTAGTTCAAGCTGAACTTGGGAGTCTCTAAATCTGATTGTTTAGAGCATATGTTTTGGCAATACATCACTTACTAGGTAGATTTCTACAAATAAAAAGCCTTATAAAATGAATGAGTAATAAAGTTTCATTTTCATAAGACAGAGGGCCAAGAGCATTAGAACTGTATATAGCTTCATGCTATTGTAAATACATCTTCTTAAAATAATATCAACCCAGACCTTGTGAGGGATCCTTTCAAATTGATATTCTAGCATTGGCTGTTATTTCCTTGACCAGTACCTTCACATCATACTTCTTTGGTCGTGGCTTCCATTGAGAGCACTAAAGAATTCCACCAGCAGAACATGTCAGAATGGGGTGAGACCCATCTGCTCCACTGTCTAGTGATCGTCTCTTGTCTTTTTTGTAGACCATGGCAAAGGTTATAACCACTGTACTGAAGTTCCCTGATGATCAGACTCAGAAAATTTTGGAAAGAGAAGATGCTCGGCTCATGGTAAGCTTAAAGAATAGGCTACAAATAGAAGACAACTTTATCTCATCCGTTTACATTCTGTCTCATTTACAGAGACTTTGAGTTGGTAAGAGAAATTTAAAAGTTTTCATCTTTATTGTACTATAGCCTGAAAAATGAGAGTGAAACTACATTAAGAAAATTAAACTGAGGGCAGATCTGAATGGATGTTCTCAAGGAAAGAAGAGTCTTATTTAATAGTATATATGAGGTTGGCACCAGTATGTGCTATATGAGATTTCTGGAACTTGGGCTCTTTATGGGAAGGATGGAAAAGGCATTTGTTCTGGTATATCCAGTAATAATTTTTTAAACCGAATGATATCATGACGTTAGGTGTTTTGTAGATTACAATTCCTTATTCTACTTCACTTGATTTCTAAATACAATAATTCTGATATAAGAGTTTAAGCATTTTTTGAGCTTTTGACATATACCCTGCAAGGGAAATGTAGATAACTGAATTCTTAGAAACCTTTGTGTCAAGTCAGCTGTGACTGAAATGAAACAAACACACACTTCATAAATTATGCAAAATTCCCTTTGCCTAACTTCTTTTTGTGCTGAACCAATAATACAGTAAGAAGATCCATTCTAAGCATAGTATGAAATTTGTGCTGTTTTCCTGTCTGGCCCTTAGCTGTCTCTTTCTGCTTCCTTTTCTTGTCTTGCTAATAGCCTGTAGCTCTTCCACATCTTTCCCCCAATTTCTTTACCTATTTCATGATCCCAGTACTGCTGTTTTTTTCACTCTCCTATTTAAATCAAACAAAGATCTACTCTTTAGTGATGGGTTAGCCCATGTCTGAGTATCTCCAGTAAGAAGGACTAAGTCAATAAGTAATTACCCTTAAGAATCCTATCTTGGGCTTCCCTGGTGGCGCAGTGGTTGAAAGTCCACCTGTCGATGCAGGGGACACGGGTTCGTGCCCCGGTCCGGGAGGATCCCACATGCCGCGGAGCGGCTGGGCCTGTGAGCCGTGGCCGCTGAGCCTGTGCGTCCGGAGCCTGTGCTCCGCAACGGGAGAGGCCACAGCGGTGAGAGGCCTGCGTACTGCAAAAAAAAAAAAAAAAAAAAAAAATCCTATCTTATCTCTACAGACTGTGTGTTTCTTACAAAAATTCTGGCTTATCTTGATCCCAAGTCTCCCTTTCTGTCGTGGTCACCAATCTGTTCTGGTTCTAATCCATGGAACTCAACCAAGAACCCACAGATGGCCTGGTTGGAGGGCTTTTACCTTCCAGGCTAAATAACCCCAGCACTTATCAGCCATCTATGAAGTTCCTTTCCTTTGACCCTTGCATGTTCTGACCTCTTTCTGGCTTCCTCTAAAGTCATCCCAGCATCCCTGACTTTTGTCCCAATACTCCATTGTATACTGTATTATTTACCTATTGTATATTTTCTGGGACAGTTGGTTATTTTGGTTAGCCTTTGTTTCTTTTGGTGAAGCATTTCTCCATGGTATCTAGTGGTCTGAAAAATATTGTCATACCTCTGTAGTTATTTCTGGTTATAGATATTTTTGATAAAGAAGTATGTAACTATAATGTATGCCCTTCATCAGTAGAGAGAATGTTGTTTTAAATTACAGCAAAACATCCAATTCTATAATCTATAGTCCACTCAGAGTGGTTTTCCTCTTCACTGAGTAAACAACTGTGTGTTTGTGAAAATAAAAATCTCCAATGCAGTTTGAGCCCGTTGACACAATTCTTTCATTATAGTCCAGTTTAAGAAAATATTTTAAAATGATGGATGTAAATAGAAAGCTTTTATTATCTTTATTCATTCTCCTGTAGCCTCTTTTTTATCTTGATGTTGGGATATAGCCAACCTCTCATCTTACTGTTGGGCTACATTTTGTCAGGATTTAGAATATAGTATGGACTCATCCTAAGTCACTGCTTTGGCAAATGTGGTAGGAAACATTCCCCCTCACCCCACACACACACATACAGCCTTAGATTGGTTTGTCTTGAAGGAAACTAATCGAATTGATTACATGTAAATAGTGAACCATCTAAAAACCTTTTAAGGTGGATGGAAAAGTTTCTTTCTTAAGGTTTTTTTTGTTTGTTTGTTTGTTTGTTTGTTTTTTTGCGGTACGCGGGCCTCTCACTGTTGTGGCCTCTCCCGTTGCGGAGCACAGGCTCCAGACACGCAGGCTCAGCGGCCATGGCTCACGGGCCCAGCCGCTCCGCGGCATGCGGGATCTTCCCGGACCAGGGTACAAACCCGTGTCCCCTGCATCGGCAGGCGGACTTTCAACCACTGCGCCACCAGGGAAGCCCTCTTAAGTTTAATTAAAAAGAAATCTTTGAAAAGCTTTACACTCTTCTTTTGTGAATAAAACGGTATTCATTCTAGATAGGGATGAAGTGGTGACTGACTTCCTGAAATAATCCTTCCTTATCCCAGAGGCTGACCTGCCCAGAAAGAAAGTCCCACTCTTTCCACTACTTTTTTTTTTTTTCTACTACTATTTTAAGCAGAGTCTCATCCATCATTATCTTTTCCTTAATGAATGAGTTCAGTTGACAGTCACCTACTTCTCTTCTGTTGGGTTGGCCAAAAAGTTTGTTTGTTTTTTTTCTGTAACATCTTACTTGTTATGGCAAATGTAGGAAAATTGAAGACATGGACGATACGATTGTTGCCCTTGTGGAACCTTTCATTTTAGGGGGAAGGGGTAGCATCTTCATTCATACATGAATAAAAGATATGCTTAAGTAATGTAATTCAAATAATAAAAATAGATGCTTAGGAAAGATGAACTAAGTTACGGTGAGCATGAAGTGAGGGAGATCCCAAAGATGACTTATCATTTTGAGTCACCTTTTGTCAGCATAAAGAGATTTTTGGTACAAGATAGAGTGACTCATGATTGTTTCCTTATTTGATGGAAAATTAAGATTACTGTTGATTGAGAAAGTTGAAACGTAAGTCACATTTGCCTTAAGATTGTTGTCATTCATAAAATAAGTGGTAAGAATCATTGTCTTTGAACAAGCCTCCTAAAGAAATTATAACTTGTTTCATACCCCAATGAACTGTAGCTGATTAGAGCAAAACACTGCTAAGAATAGTGACTTCTCTTTTTCTATGGAAGTATCCAATAGAAAGATACCTATATGTGTAGAAAGCAGAGCTTTTTAGGGTTTTATTAAATAATTGTTTAAAAGCTATTTAGTCATATTAGTTTTAAATATATGTTCCAGATGGACCATTTCTGTAATTTGTTGTAACTGCAGCTACAGTTTCCCCTCTATTAAAAATCAATAGTATTGACTATTTTGTTATTTTAGGTTTGGGGGCTACAAAGCTGGTGTAAGTAAACCAAACAAACCCCATCATATTGCAGAGCTCCCTCCCCTGTCCGTTAGTATTTGGGATGCTTGAGAGAGTGTGGATTGCACTTTTTGCTGAGAGTGTGCAGCCACGTCAGCATTTACGTTATTTAACAGGTATGAGAGGAGGAATACTTTCTAAAAACTTTGCTTTATGACCCTAATGATTATATGTTTGCTTTGTGGCATTGATCGAAAACTGTCCATGACTGCTGGTAAGGTATTTTTCAGTATGTCCCCTCTTTACCGTATCTCCCCTCTCCTTAGTGACTTTTATACTGTTTATTTAAAAAACCCCACTACAGAATACAATAGTTATTATTTAACAAGTGGTTTCAGAGTTTAACCTAATTTGAAGAATGTATTTCATAGATGAGAAACCATTATCTGTCAAGTAAGAGTAAATTATAGAGCATAAGTAAAGTCTGGTTTATTTGAGGGTCACAATGTGTAGAGAAGGAATACTAGTCCTTCATTTGACAAGTCTCAGAGCCTCTGTTTCTTCACAAAAGTATGTTGGATTATTCTATCTCTAAGGTTCCTTTTCCTCTAAAGTATTAAATTAGTTATAAATTTTAAAGTTTTAGATTTCTTGCAACTGGGAAAAAATTATCTTCTATGCAGCAGGTAGAAGTTAAAGAAAGTGCACACACAAGTCTCAGAGCCTCTGTTTCTTCACAAAACTAACGTTATCTTGTTAGGATTGTTGGAGAACCAAAGTACGTATAGTGCCGGCACTGGGGTTTTGTGATCTCTGTGGGGCTGGTGGTGGTGGTTCCTGAGCCACATGTAGTGATGAGTAGAACGAGTCTTTCCTAGAAGGTGAGACTTGGAAAGGTAAACCAATAATGTGTGTAAGATAAACCATGAAAGACCTCACTACAACAGTCAGGTCACTTTATAGGAATGAAACCAGCTCAAAACATGTCCCATCTCCAGTTTCAGCACCTCTGAGTGCCACCACATGCAGCTTTGCTTGGTGAGAGCTAGCCCTCAACAGCTCAGCCCCTGTGTAACTTTGAGCAAACCTTTTGCATCTTTCTGGCCCTTATTGCTAAAACAAGTATGTTGGATTATTCTATCTCTAAGGTTTTTTTTCCTCTAAAGTATTAAGTTAGTTGTAAATTTTAAAGTTTTAGATTTCATTCAAGTGGGAAAAAATTGTCTTACATGCAGCAGGCAGAAGTTACAGAAAGTGCACATACCAAATGCACATACCTTTGTGTTCCCTAGAGCAGCCTCTTCCCTCCTCTCAGTTTTTAGCTTATTGTGCCTGGTTTGTGATGGTTTAGGTAGTGTAAATGGCAAGAGTAGACTGGATGTTTGAGTTTCAGGGTGGGAGCAAGAGTGAATACGGAAGTCTTTTTTTTTAATTAATTAATTTTATTTATTTTTGGCTACATGGGGTCTTTGTTGCTGCACGCGGGCTTTCTCTGGTTTTGGCGAGCGGGGAGGGGGCTACTCTTCGTTGCGGTGCGTGGGCTTCTCATTGCGGTGGCTTCTTTTGTTGTGGAGCACGAGCTCTAGGCACACAGGCTTCAGTAGTTGCGGCATGTGGGCTCAGCAGTTGTGGCACTCGGGCTGTAGAACGCAGGCTCAGTAGTCGTGGCGCACGAGCTTAGTTGCTCCGGGGCATGTGGGATCTTCCTGGAACAGGGCTCGAACCCGTGTTTCCTGCATTGGCAGGCAGATTCTTAACCACCGCGCCACCAGGGAAGTCGCAATACGGAAGTCTTTAGCTTGTCTAATTGAATAAGACTGCCCTGGAAGTACACCATCAAACTTGTTTTTTTTAAAGAGAGTGTTATTTATTTAGGATAATTACAGTAAGAAAGTTTATTTTAATCAGGTGCTAAATCATCTCTTGGAATTGAGAGGTTCTTTTGTTATATAGAAATCTCTTTTAAAATGTGTTTCTAGGAATATACTTTTCTCTTTAGAGTGTTAGCAAACTTAATGACACGTTTAAACCGGATGGCTATTTTCTTGATGACTCCATTAAAAGAAAATTGTTCTATTCTGATGAGAAAGATTAGGCATGTTTTCATTTCTCATCCACTCTAGTCATTTTTAAAGATTGATCTTCTGTTGACTTTGTTATTGCTTTGCTTTCATGCTGATCCTTTGTGTTGTGTCAAGTTCTTGACCAGTCCTTACCCTAGACCAGTCTTGTACTTAAGTTAATGTTTCTGACTTCTCTCCTTTTGGCTGAAATTTTAAAAATCTCTTCCAGATTAATAAAATCGTCAGAACTTTTCAGCATCGTTAGGTATAAAAGTTCTCCATTCTAGTTGAGGTTTACCTTTCCGTTTGCGTGGTCTCAGTAGATGCATGCAAGGTGGATTCAAGAAACAAATGCACATAAAAATGATGCATAGTGAAAAACACTGCACGTGTAAAACATATATTTGTTATCTTAAAAGTGGTTTTACCTCTTGATATTGTTAGAATTACATGATATGTGATCATTGCGAAAAAACGTTGCAAACAGTTCAGAAACATTACATAGAAGGGGAGATCTTCATGATTTTCAGCCTCCCAGCTGTCTCCACCTTGCCAAGGTCATGTTTGCTAATGGTGTGGTGAACATCCCCCAGCTTTATAATTATGTATTTGTAATTATTCCTTTATCATTTAAGTATTTTATTTTATAAAAATGAGAGTATGCAACGGCTTGCTTTTTTCACTTATTTTTATATAATTCCACCTCATTACAAACTGATTTACCATATTCTTTGATTGGTTGATTATATGGATGTCCTACAGCTGAGTTCATCAATTTCCTATCCATGGACACTTAGATTATTTCAGTTTTTCAGTACTTAACAAGCATAGACACAGGGAGCATACATATATTTCACATGCTTTTGCCAGTTTTCCAATAGGATGTTAGCCTTATTGTGTTGTGTGTTGCAGATATTTTCTACTTTGTCTTTTGATCTTGCTGTTCCTTACTAACTGTACATTAAATATAAAAGATAAATAAAATGATGCTTCTGAGGTTGGTTACACTAAGAATAGACTCAGAATTTATAAACAACTGTTTTTGCTGATGCTGTTTTAAAGCAAATCAGGAAGCTAATTAATAATCTTGGTTTATGACCATGTTAAATAGGACATAGAATTTATTTAAGGAGGTTGCTATAGTAAAAGTGTGTTTGCAGAGATTGGGTCCCCTTGAATAGAAACTTTGGTTTGGATTATCATTCCTGAAACCATTCCTGATATACTGTTGATATACAAGAGTTATTCATTGATAAAATTGACATATTTTAGGAATGATGATTCAACATATAGACACACTGTATTCACATTCATCAACATTTCCCCCCAGATTTTTGGTGGTAAATTGAAATTATGTAAATCAAATTGTAGTGTGTGCTTTAATGGAATTATGAAAGAAATCCTTTTATAAATCAAATAATCATGACTTAATTATGTCTAGCATATAAATATGTACTTAAGGTGTAAAGTACATCTTTAATTGTGTTGTTTAAACTTTTAAATTAAAGTTCCAAGTAAAATCTCCACTACATAGTGTTATATTTACTTAGGATGGAAGGGAGCTATTACAGATTCCTAAGCCTATCCTCCCTTGATTTGGGGAGATGTGAGAAAAATTTAAGTACATTCTGTTGAATCCTTTGAAGTTCATATACACATATAATCTCTGTGTTATGTTGTCTTAAAACTAATCCAATAAGCTTTTTTTCTTCCTGGCTTTGTAGTATACTTCACCTCGCAGTGGTATCTTCTGAGTAAACCGTCAGTCTGTGCTTAGTTAGCATGTGGTGAGTGAAGAATAATATGTCTTTTGTCTTTTCTGCAAAAATTAAATGTATTGCATGATACTAACCATTATGCTGGAGTTCTTTTGCTCTTTTGTTTAATGAAAATATGATTATGCTATGGGTTAATATAGGGATTTTCTGTTAATTTTGCTTTATAGATTAATAATATATAGATTAATAATCACCACCAGTAAATGTTACATAATTCTAGGAAATTTTAGTTCTTTCAACAGTATTTGAAAGTTTCAGAATTGGTCTTTGAAATTTTGCTAAAGAATCCAAAAAAATCTTTATGTATTTTACATTCCTTTTTGTTTTTTATTTCTCAAGAATGGTCTTTGAAGTTAATAAAGATTATGAGAGAAAAATGAAAAATCATTTTCTAGATAAAAGTGCTGTATTTCGCGAATCCAGAATGTAAAATATTGTAAAGCCTTCTTAGAGTCAAGGCTACTCTGAAATAATGAGCACTAGTAAAATTGATTTTAAAATAAATGGCAGTTTTATTACTTCCTGGGATCATGCAGTATGACGAAGTAGCACATTTGTCCTGAGGAGGAGACCCTTAGGCAGCCTGCTCTAATTGAATGTGGCTGTTTTTAATTAACATATTATTACAATGAGGGGGAGGCATCTAAAAAGTTTGGACACAGTTGGCTGTCCTCACATTTAAACACCCCTCCCATCACCTCCACATATTATCCATGCTGTTAGTGTGATTTAGCACCCCTAAAAATTTAGGGTACGTCTTTACCTCAAACTTTGCAAGAATTTTCACAAGTGACAAATAAGCTGGATCACAATCTATAGAACTTAATTATAATTAAACTAAAGGTTCTCTGATTATTAAGCTAGTGTTCAAGTAACAGTATCAAGTTTTAAAATGTTAATATATAGCATTTTTTAACATTTTTGCTTTAAATATCCTTTCTGCCTACATTTGAATCTCATTTTTATTTTTAATGTCAGTTGCCTTAGTGATTGTCTAAAACTGTCATTAGTCTTGTAAATCCCAAATCTAATTCAATAAGTCTTAACATTTACCTTTGTTTATAATATTATAAATACTGTATCATGCTTGTTGTTGCATTTAAATAGTATCATTTATCACTTGAAAGGTATACTCTGTAGCATTTCCGTTGATTGATTGTCTCCTCAGCTTTTAGTTTGAAAAATTTCAAACAAGATTTGTAAAAATAGTACAATGAACATCCATATACCCTCCACCTACATTTACCAGTTATCAACATTTTGCCAGATTTCCTCACTTGCTCTCACTCTTGCTTTCTCTCCATATATATTTTTCCCTCTGTGACGTTTGACAGTTGCTTGCAAACATGGTGCTGCAAGCATTTGACAGTTACTTGCAAACATAAACTAAATACTTTACCAAGTATCTTTAAGAACAAGGGCCTTTTCCTACATACAATACAGTTACGACTCTCAGGAAATTTAATATTAACACAATGCTCTTATCTAATATATAGTAAATATCCACATTTTCCCATTTTTCCAAATAATGTCTCATAATTTTTAAAATTCCAGGATCCATTGAAAGATTGCACATCGCATTTTGTCATCATGTTCTTCAGGTTTCTTTTGAACTAGAAAAGTTCTCCCAGCCTTTTTTGGGTCTCTCATGACATTGACATTGTGCAGCATTATTGAGTCATGCATGAACTTCTTTTCCTGCAACAGTGCAAGCTAACGTTTGAAAGTAATAACTGACAAAGAGTTTTAAATGTCATAGGAGATCTTTTTCTTATCTTCTCTACGTTTCTAGGACTAACATGAATGTTGAACAAGTTTTATAAATAGTAAGCTCTTGGAGATAGATCACGAGTGGTGGATTATATTGTTCATTTACAAGTTGAGAAGACCTTGATACTCTCTCTAGAACTAAAATATATTTGAAAAGTTTGTCTCTATTAATCTTTTTTGGTATTTTATTTTTATGCATTTTTAACCTCATACTTGATTTGACCACTGGCTTTTAGCATCTGAATTAGAGAAACCTTTTTAGGAAGGTTTAGCATCATGTTTCATAGCAGATTACGGTTTTAAAATTAAGTTTGTTAATTTCACGAGGCATACATAGCTTTTTCACACCAAAATGCTGTTATCCTCTGCCACCGTGCCTGGCATCCTGGGAGAACTGCAATATGTAGAAAAATCATTACATTAGGGAAAAAGGAAGAACCTTTTGTCCTCTTAAATCCAATCTGCGTTCTTGTGAGATTCTGCCATGTCAGCACGTTTACTCCTGGCTTTCTCCAGTCATGACCTGGTAGCCTTCAATATGTGCTGAAAGGTTGCAGTTCCAGATTTCACTTAAAAATACTGCTTTCCAGGACTGCTGACTAAAAGGTCATTCCAAGAACAGTAATTTTTAGAAGATTCCTTTAGGATTTAATACTTAGAATATTTCTGCTTCAGTCCTCAGACCATAGAATATAATCTTGATATAATTTTACTTTAACTTGAAAAAATAAATCTCACGAAAGTTAGCTTTAAAAGGTTTTTCTTTCTCGCTCCCTTTCTCCCTCCCTCCCTCCCTCCTTCCTTCCTTTCTTTTTAAATTTTTATTGGAGTATAGTTGCTTTACAATGTTGTGTTAGTTTCAGGTATACAGCAAAGTGAATCAGTTACACAGATACGTATATCCCCTCTTTTTCAGATTTCCTTCCCATTTAGGTCACTACAGAGCATTGAGTAGAGCTCCCTGTGGTATACAGTACGTTCTCGTTAGGTATCTGTTTTATACATAGTAGTATACATATGTCATTTTCTTTCTTTCTTTATCCTAACCCTTTTTCTTTTCCAGTCATGGCTCCGGCCTTCATCTTGAAGAAGTGGGGAGAGTGATGCTGGGCAGGCCTGGAAAACTGTGCACGTTTGCTGTTCTTAGAGAACGAAGCTGTTATTCAGGGCCCCTCATGTAGCCAGAAGACCAAGAAAAATCTGACATTGGCCACAGAAAGATTGCAGACTGCCTTTAAAATAGATTATATCAATGGAGAAACGGTGATAGTTTTTTGGGGGGGGATTCTTCAGTTTTTCTGTTGGGAAGAGTTTTGTGTTGTTTAAAAGATACTTTGAATAACTTAACCTGATTTATGGGCTCATTTAATGTTCCTTTCTTCCATTCTTTTTGTCCCTCTTTTTAAAGAACTGCTTGCCTTTCCTATTTATTTTTAGGGTGATTTTTTTAAAAGACTTGTGCAATACATTTTGAGGTGGAACTTAGTGGACTTTTTCCTGATACATTAGAGCATTTAATTGACTATTTTATCCAGATTGATTTGTTGAATATTTGCTAAAGACTAGTTCTTTAAGCTATGACATATGATAAATCCAAATGGCAGTACCTCATTGTTTACTTAGCTTTTGTACTTATATTTTTCAGAGGAAAAAATACTACTGTAAATTGTAAATAGTCAATACATAACTGTATCGTATGCAAATCTGTGACTGTTGGCAATGTCATCTCAGAAGAACAGATAAATAAAGTTTATTTACTATATAAAATGTGCTTACTGTGTTTTTTCCTAAATTGAAATCTATTTCAAAATAGTTAAGAATTTATGTTGTATCTGGGTGAATATAATGAGGAACTATTTGTCAAGAGAGCTGAATGGCTAAGCATTTGGATTTTTTTTTTTTTTTTTGCGGTATGCGGGCCTCTCACTGTTGTGGCCTCTCCCGTTGCGGAGCACAGGCTCCGGACGCGCAGGCTCAGCGGCCACGGCTCACGGGCCCAGCCGCTCCGCGGCATGTGGGATCTTCCCAGACTGAGGGACAAACCCATGTCCCCTGCATCGGCAGGTGGACTCTCAACCACTGCGCCACCAGGGAAGCCCAATATTTTTTTTTATGCATTTAATTATTGAGTATTTTTCTAGTGTGTGAATGGATGTACAGAAGGATAGGCCGTGTGTGTGTGTGTGTGTGTGTGTGTACATGACTACATTTATAATTCTGTTTATATTAAGGCCCATTAAAATTTCTGTGAAAACTTTTTTTTTTTTTTTGCAGTACGCGGGCCTCTCACTGTTGTGGCCTCTCCCATTGCGGAGCGCAGGCTCAGCAGCCATGGCTCATGGGCCCAGCCGCTCCGTGGCATATGGGATCTTCCCGGACCAGGGCATGAACCCGTGTCCCCTGCATCAGCAGGCGGACTCTCAACCACTGTGCCACCAGGGAAGCCCCTTGTGAAAACATTTTTAATTGCCTAATACTTTACCCTCAATATTCCATCATTTAGCGCCATGTTCTCTACTGTTGAACATTTAGGTTGTGTGTAATTAGTCACTTTCATTCAGTACTCCATGACGGTCTTGCTATTCATATTGTAAGCACACTGGAAAGAACAATCCAGGACCAACCTGTCTTTTTCTCAACAGCCTTTGGTTGCCAAACACGGACACACTTCAGAAGACTGTGTGCCAGGTTTGTCTGGCACCCTTTCCCCAAACATTCCAAAGATGTGACGCACGGGTGAGCATTCAGAGTCAGTACACTCTTAGAACACTACGTTTCAAAGCTGGGCTTCACCCATATTTGGTTAAAGTGTTAAAGCTGCATTGAAATAGCTATGCCTGAAGCATACTCTCTGTGGCGGCAGTGCGGGGGCGGGTGAGGGTGCAGGCAAGGCCACGACATTCTTTCCATCCTCCGGCCATTGTAATAATAACAATTTCCTGGTGCCTTCCTTTGGGATCCTCTTTAGTCAGGCTTTGTTGTTTGTTACGTTCTTCAGAAGTGTCCAAATGCCAAACATGTGTGAACATATGACACTTAGTAAACAATATGGCCGTTTAAAATTTTACTCTGACGATTAAATGCAGTTAAAATGCAGCTATGGGTACATCTCTTATAATTTCCCAATTGCTTATTCCCCTGCTGCAGGAAGGCTGTTTCTTGCTTAATCTCACACCCAGATTGGGCTGCCCTCCCCTTTTAAATGGGGAATGTGTAGTGTGTTTCCATGTCTGTCATTTCTCTTTCCACTACTGTGTGTTGGGAGTGAGTAGGACATATCATTTGTCTTTTTCATTCCAGGTTTCCAAGAAAAGTTAACTCAGGATCCAGTGTGGCTCATGAGATCCTGGACATTATGTCTGATGCTATGATTGGGTGAGACTTTTGGGAAGTCTTTGGGAGCATTAATTAATGTAATTTACGGGCAACCAGGAAGGAAATGAATCCTTATGACCCAGTGAGCAGATTGTGGTAGATTGGATTGTTGTTTCCAATTCTTCTCTCCCTCCCTATATTTGGGTTATGCATCCACATACTTCGTTATCTGACTTTGAAGTACCTGCTGTTGTAGTGGGTGGAAATACATTTCTCCACCAACACTGAGATTGGCTGTGTGACTTTAGTCAATGAGTTTTGAGTGGACATGACTTTGCCACATCTGAGCAGCAGTTTTAAGAGCCCTTGCATAGTTCAGCTATTGCTGCTTTATCACTGCCATGAGACTGAGTTAATGGGTTCTCCCTTAGCTTGGACCCTGGGATAGTGTCACATTGACCAGACATGTAACAGAGTGAGAAATTATTATTATTATAAGCCACTGAGATTTGGGGATCGTTTGTTACTGTAGCATAACTTAGTGAAAACTGACACATGCAAAAAAAAATATTTTTGCAGGATAAAGTGATGTCTTTAGTTTTTAGAAGTTTGACTATGTAGTGTCTTGGTGTGGATTTCTTTAGGTTTATCTTAGGGTTTGCCCAGCTTCTTGAGTCTACAGGTTTATGTCTTTTGCCAAATTTGGGAACTTTTCAGCCATTATTTCTTTCCTTTTTTTTTGGTTTTTTAAAAGTATTTATTTATTTATTTATGGCTGTGTCGGGTCTTAGTTGCAGTATGTGGGCTCTTCGTCACGGCATGCTGGCTTCTCTCTAGTTGTGATGTGCAGGCTTCTCTTTAGTTGTGGTGTGTGGGCTCCGTAGTTGTGGCACACGGGCTCAGTAGTTGTGGCATGCGGACTTAGTTGCTCCACAGCATGTGGGATCTTAGTTCCCCGACCAGGGATTGAACCCACGTCACCTGCATTGGAGGACGGATTCTTAACCACTGGACCACCAGGGAAGTCCCCAGTCATTATTTCTTTCTCCTCTCCCTGCTCTCCTTCTGGGACTCCAATGACATGTTAGATCCTTTGTTATAGTCCCACAAGTCCCTGAGGCTCTGTTCATTTTTTTTTCTCCAGTCTAATTTCTCTCTGTTGTTCAGATTGAGTAATTTCTCTTGTTCTGTTTTCAAGTTCACTGACTCTTTTCTCTGTCCCCTCCATTCTGCTGTTGAACCTGTCCATTGAGTTTTTAATTTCAGTCATTGTATTTTTCAGTTCTAAGATTCCCACTTGGGTCTTTATATCTTCCATTTCTTTGCAGAGATACTCTGTTTCTTTGGTGAGACCTTGTTTTCTCATTTATTTCAAGCATGTTTGTAATGCTCATTGAAGAATATGTATGCTGGCTGCTTTAAAGTCTTTGTCCGATAAAGGATGGGATAGAAATCCAGATTCTCTACTAGGCCTTCATTGACACCCAAGGTGGGGAGGGTCTCCTCATCACTGCTGGGTGGGGATGTAGAGTTAACAGTTGCCCACTAGACCTCCACTGAACCATGGGAGGGGTGGTAGGGAGGGAGACCTCTTTACCTTTGGGTGGTAGTGAAAGTCCACTCTCCCCTGGGCCTCCTCTCCCTCTACCCCAGCAGGAAAGGGGAGGGGACCTAGTTGCTGCTGGTGGGGGTGGAAGTCCAGGCTTCCCATATGGTCTCCACTGACATCATGGGGATGGGTGGGATTGGGAGGTCTCATTGCTACCCACCAGGGATGAAAGTCCCTGCTTCCTGCTCAGCCTTCTCTGACATCACCCTGCATGAGTTTTGGGTCCTTCCTTATAGCTTGGCAGTTGTTAGAGGTCTAGGCTCCCCACTGGGCCTTTGCTGACAGGGTTGGGAGGGGGGTCACATTGTTTTTTGCTGGAGGTTTCTTTTGGTGTGTGGCTGGAGTGGAGCCGTGGTTGTCTAAAAGCTTTGTGTCTTGCTAGGCTGCCCCTTTCCTGGTTCTTTGCTACCGGTTTCCAGGTAGCCAGTTTCTTCAGGTCCAAGTCTGTTGTATATGAGGCAGAGAAAGCCTCGGGAACTCATGGCATGTCACTCCTCAGGTCCCAAGCGTCCTGGCCAGTCTGCCTCCTCCTCTCCACCTTTCAGAGTCTTCTTAGGTTTGTTTTATATACAGTGTCCAGGGTTTTCAGTTGTACTTGGGAGGACTAGGGAGAAGTATGTCTACTCCATCCTCCCAGAAGCAGGTCTCCTATGCACTGTGATTATATTTAGTATATATTTATTACATATTGTTCCAGATACACACTTTTTTAATTAATTAATTTAGTTATTTATTTCTGGCTGATTTGGATCTTTGTTGCTGTGCGCGGCCTTTCTCTAGTTGCGGCGAGCGGGGGCTACTCTTGGTTGTGGTGCATGGGCTTCTCATTGCGGTGGCTTCTCGTTGCGGAGCACGCACTTTAGGCACGTGGACTTCAGTAGTCGTGGCTCGTGGGCTCTAGAGTGCAAGCTCAGTAGTTGTGGCACGTGGACTCAGGTGGTGTGGCTCGCAGGCTCCAGAGCCCAGGCTCAGCAGCCATGGCGCTCGGGCTTAGTTGCTCCATGGTATGTGGGATCTTCCTGGACCAGGGCTCAAACCCATGTCCCCTGCATTGGCAGGCGGATCCACTGTACCACCAGGGAAGCCCAGATACACATATTTTTAATAAATATAAACTAGAAGCATATACAGTTAATTCACAATAGTGGTCATAATGGTCTTCCCTGGTCACCTCCACCCAATCTGTATTCCATATCCTCCTTTAGTTTTTTTTATGGCATCAAGTATTGCCTACCCTCAGTAAAAATTGTTGTTTTCTTTGTACTAGAATGAAAGCTCCAAGAGGCCAGTCAAATTGTGTCTTGTCCATGGTTGTGTCCTTACGACCTAGCATATGTAGTAAGCACACAATAAGCATGTACCGAATATAAATGAATGAATGGATGGACAAGTGAATTAAAGAAGAGAAAATGTACCAGTACCTTCTTTGTAATTAAAAACAAAAAAATTTTTTAAGAGTGGGAAAATTTTTAAAGACTTCTTTCTCTCTTGAGGAGGCATGTGGGAACACAAGGGAACAAGAGGAACCGAATTATGGGCAGAACCTGGACTTTGTTTAATTTGCTTTATAAGTCAGTTAGTTACAAATATTAATATTTTAAGGAACCAGTTACTTGTAACACATCACAACTGATCAGGATACACCAGCAGAAATGAGTACAACTGGAAAGAATCGCTTCCCTGTTTTCTTTTTCTTTCTTTTTTTGGAGGGGCGGGGGCCGTACTGTGCAGCATGCAGGATCTAGTTCCCTGACCAGGGATCAAACCCACGTCCCCTGCATTGGAAGCAGGGAGTGTTAACCACTGGACCACCAGGGAAGTCCCCGACCTTCCCTGTTTTCACTCCTACTTTCCTAGATGTGTTTTTCTTTTGGGATTGAGCCATGTTGGATTTGAAGATTAGTTTAGGCCCAGGGAAAGAATCTGTCCAAAGAGCTTAACTTCCCCTAATCTCTTGGGGAGGTGACATTGCATGCTGGCTATGAGTGCAGGCTCTGGGGCCAGCCTGCCAGGCTTCGAGTCCTGGCTTGGCCATTTACTCACCATGCCAGGGATCTGAGATGGGCTGGGACCTGGGACCCTGTGCTGCAGTGCTTGTACCTGGACAAACTCTCCTGGAGCAACAGAATACAAGAAACTATAAGGGACTAAAAAAAACTGTGTGCATGAGCAGCTGGGGCAAACTATGAACAATGTGATACAGAAAGACCAAAACCCAACTGCCCCCTCTGAAGTGCCGGGAGCAAAAGCAGGGTACTTGCACCTGCCCCCTGCGCACAGTGCCACCGAGAGGATGAGCAGATCACCTAAGCCACCCCTCCGGCCCAGCCCACCAGTCTGCCCCTACCCTCACCCTATTTAAGGGGCCAGCCCCCCTTGTGAGCAAGGGCAACTTATTACTTGCTTTCGCTTCCTTATGCTGCAACACGAGTCCCAATAGAGCCTTGCCTGAAATTCTCATCTGGCCTCATCAATTTCTACTGATTAAATGAGTCCAAGGACCCTGGTTGGTAACAAAGGTACAGATGCAAGAGCAGAAATGGCAACCTGCAAGCCCTTTTGGAAGCTTCTGCTTATAGCACAACCTAAGCCAAACTCAGAATTAAGGGGTGGGGAAAATCACGCCATCTCTTGAAAGGAGGATTCAAAAAGTCACTTTATAAGGGTGTGACTGCAGTGAGGGTGTGAAGATTTGGGGCCCTTAATGCGAACAATTTATCAAAATACTTATCAACTCAGTACGGCCACTACGAATCAGTTGAGTTCATACGGTGTATCAGACCTGTTTGCCATCACAACTGTAAGTTTCCCTGACGGGGGTGCTCCAGGGAACCCGGTAGGGGCAGGGGCGGGACAAAAACGCAGGGTTTTGGGCCTCCTTTCCACTTAGAGCTGCTTGACTTTTATTTGTTTTATATATTGAGGTTTTACATTAGGTTTTGTTTGAAAAAGATTCTGCCGTCAAAAGGCTTTTAAAACGTTTCTTTGGATGTATTCAGACCAATAGGAAGAGCATGCTTAGCCCATGTTTCCTTGGTCCCTGCAGAACTGCTTTTGCTCATCTGTGTTTCAGACTGTGCCTTAGGCTTTACTCAAAGGCCACCATAAGAAAGAACTTCAGGGAATCAATAATTATATGTTCTTTACACCTATTTTACGAGTCATCAATATGTAAGAAATCTATTTTACAGACAAGTGCCGGGGAAAGTTTCAGTATATTTTCTCTTTTGGGCAACAAGAACTATTTTATGTATCATGTAACGTTTCCCTTTTTGCTTTGGCCACATGGAAGCTTGGTGTCAAATTTAGGTCCCACGTTTCATAACTCTTAAAACTAGAATGGCCCAAGGAGCTTTTAAAATACAGATTCCAAGGCTTCAACTGCAGAGAATCTGAGCAGCTGGGCTGCCCCTGGTGGCTTGATTATTTGTTCTCTTTCTTTGCCCTGGACTTGTCTTCTGATTCTAATATATGTTTCCTCTGGCCCCAATTGTTCTTTCATACAGTAAGTCAGTTACTCCTAGGTCCAAACTGGCAGTGTGTGGGAGGCTGCTCCCAGGACCAGTGAAGGCACTGAGAAGCCTCTGGCCAGTCTAGGGGCCCAGCCTGGGTAGGGGGCAGATCCTCAGCAGAGAAGGGGTAGAGGCACCAGGACCCTCCATGTCTTCAGGTTTGAGAAGTCAGGTGTCTTTCCCAGCGAGCAGCCCTGGGGGAGGTCTATTCTGGAGCTGGGGGCTGGGCCTGAGGGTCAGATGCCAAAACACCCTGGGCTCTCAGGGAAGCAGGACTCCGGCCGAGAAAGAGCCACAGCCCGCCAAGTCCCCTGCAGCATCTGAACACCTGCTCGCACAATCTCTACGCTGAGATTTTCACCCTATCGGACACCCACAAATTTAGGAGAAACCAACTCTCCCACAGGTTAATTCAACACTCAGGCTTGGCCAAAAATTGTTTAGAAGGACATGATTATTCTCTAGGATGATTCTGAATTTAGAATTGAATATAAATGTCGAAGTGAAGCAAGTTCATGGTCCTAATATTTTGGGGTTATTTGTATATTCTTTTAAATAAGTAAATAGATTTATTTATTTTTGGCTGCATTGGGTCTTCATTGCCGCACGCGGGCTTTCTCTAGTTGCGGTGAGCAGGAGCTACTCTTCGTTGTGGTGCACAGGCTTTCCATTGTGGTGGCTTCTCTTGCTGCAGAGCACGGGCTCTAGGCGCGCAGCCTTCAGTAGTGGCTCGTGGGCTCTAAAGCACAGGCTCAGTAGTTGTGGCACACGGGCTTAGCTGCTCCAGGGCATGTGGGATCTTCCCAGACCAGGATCGAACCTGTGTCCCCTGCATTGACAGGCGGATTCTTAACCACTGTGCCATCAGGGAAGTCCCGGGTTATTTGAATTTTTAAGACAACTTGGCATACTAAATTAGCTAATAAATTAGCCTTGGATTCATTTTAAAAGTTATAATTGAAGAATTGATTTAGATTTGTGATTTTAAGCTGAAACCTTATTAAGTTTATAAACCACATTAGAATATTTAACATAGAAGATACATGTTATTTTAAGTTTTATCAGTTAGATTTATCAACCTTGGTTAAATAAGGAAATACTTAAGTACTTGGAAGGTTTTTGGAGTCAGGTGAATACATGAAATGCTTATAAATAAGATAAAGTATGATAAATTTATTAAAGTAGCAATTTCAAATATAAAGAGAATTTAATGAAGTTATAAAAACGTTCTGAAAATAATTGCTTGAAATTTGGTAGATTTATAATTACAATAATGAGATTAATAAGCTGAACTTAAATAAGGTTCTACATTTGTGATGTTAATAAATTCAGTATTAATTTTTTTAACTGAAGTAGTCTTCTAATGAAACTTACTCTTAAATCTCTCTGAAAATACTAATTAGAATTAAAAAAAATTTTTTTTTCCTTCTTTATCCTACAGCTCTATTTTCTTTGGGTCTAGTTGTCCTGTTTGTGAATGTTTTTCTTTCTGTTGGTGGGGTTCCTGGTGGCTGGCAGTCCTTGGTTGACCATCAAAGGACAAGGTAGGTTGCCCTTGTGGCTGGAATGAGTTTCCCTTTGCATTTGTCTAGATCTGTTTGCCTGACAGGTGTGTCCCTGAATGAAAGGGCCACCTCTGCATCCCGTGGAAGTGGGCAGGGCTGATGTCTTTCCCTTCGATTGCCTCTCTGTTTCGTTCTCCCTCCTTCTCTCCCTCCTTCTGCTCTTACAAAACTATTTGCCTTCTCCTCTTTTACACACGCTAATAGCTAATGTTAGATTCACTTCAGGGCACCCACAGAGCTCACTACTCCCCTTTAAAGAGGGAACACGGAGAAAGAGGAAGTGAGCATTTATGGAACATCTTCTTCTCACAGCATGAGGGACTCAGGACCCACTGACTGGTTCAAGCCCTCCCAGGGGTGTAGGTGTTGCTGTCCCATTTGACTCATTAGGGTTTTACCTTTAGTTGTTTTAAAAGGTGAAACTGGACTTTATGGAGCCGTGACAAGGATAGAAGCTTGAGCAAGAAAATGTGCAAGGATCAGAAAATGTCAGGAGCCTCATGGTCTTGTGGTGGATGATATACAACTGGGTTCTTTCCTTGGGAGTAATGGAATCTGCTAGCACTGCATAACCAGAGAAGGGGTGGGGAGGGAGAGGAGAGAGAGTGCACTCAGGAGACAGAAAGAGCAGATAAGATGGTCATGGAAACTTTTTTTTTTTTTTTTTCTTTGCGGTACACGGGCCTCTCAGTGTTGTGGCCTCTCCCGTTGCGGAGCACAGGCTCCGGACGCACAGGCTCAGCGGCCATGGCTCACGGGCCCAGCCGCTATGCGGCACGTGGGATCTTCCCGGACCGGGGCACAAACCCGTGTCCTCTGCATCATCAGGCGGACTCTCAACCACTGCGCTACCAGGGAAGCCCTGAAACATTTTTGATCATCAGAAGCGGTGGTTGAAACTTCAGGTGTCAGAACAGTAGGATGGAAACAAATTGGCCCTGGCTGACTCAGTTTACACTCTGCACTGTGCATGCCTTATTTTCTTCAACTTTCGTGAACAGGCAGAGGTGAGGAAACTGGGTCACCATGGACGTCAAGAAGCTGTAGGCCAGTAAACCAGGAGGCAGGATTTGAACCCTGAACTTAATGATTCCAGACCTTCCACTGGGCCCTCTCAAATTCACGCTAAATCGTTAGCAAAGTCACCGATATCCTCCATCTCTGCTCTGAAGTCTCCTTTTGCTTTCTTGATTTAAGTGAAACCCATACTCTTGTCTTGTGACTCTGATTCCCCTGCAGCTTTCTCCAGCTTGTGTCGGCAGTGGGAGGTGGGGGAGGGGGTGTTTTTCCCCACGCCTCTTGGATGACTGGCCTGAAGGTCCACCTTGTTCCTCATTGTAGCTTCCAGACTGCAGGACCATGGCGTCCAGACTCTGGTGAACAGGGGGCCTGTGACCTCTTGAGAAGGGGTCATCTGGGGTTGCACTGGTGATGTGAGCTCCAGGGAGCAACTGTCTGTGTGTGTCGGGCTGGTGGGCAGAGGCGTGGGGTCGCAGGCCTGATACGGGGTGTGGTTCGGAGGGCTGCCCAGGCGTGCCGTCCTGCATGTGCACCTCTGGGCCCACCCCACCCTTGCTGGTCCTTTCCTTGGGGCTTTGCCTTCCATTCCCACGCTTGGCCTCAGCCCACACTCTCTTGTGCCAAGAATTGAGGTGTAAAGTCTTATTGAATAATCCTTCACCAAAGATGTGTTGTCAACCAGTGGTGACTGAATTCTTCCTGGTCACCTGTGGACATCGGTTGGATATATCAGTTAATGTTTGCTGCTTAAAGCAGCCCCACTTATCAAGCTCATAACTCTGCAGGGTGGCCCTTTGGTCTGGATCCGCTGGGCATTCTTCCCATCTCAGCTGGGCTCACTCATGCACCCAGAGTCAACTCTGTGTCCACTGAGACTGGCTGGTCCAGGGGCCAGGGTGCCTGGTCTCTGCTGCGTGGTCAGCCCGAGTCTAGCAGGGAGCATGTGCTTGTTCACGGGCAGCATAGCAGGGGGCTGGGAGCAGGTAAGAGCCCGCAGACCTTGAGGCCCAGGCTCCCACCCTGCACGCCATCGCTTCCACTACATTCTATTGGTCAAAGCAAGTCACCGGGCCAGCCTGATTGAAGGGCTGGGGACACAGGCTCCACTTTAATGAGAAGTGTTGCAAAGTCATATTGCAAGGGGGTATGGGTAACTGTGCCCGCCCCCCCTTTTTTTCTTCAAGTGCAGTATCACCATAGGCCAGCATGCAGATCCTGCAGCTGTAAGGAGAGAGGGAGAACTTTTATCCCTGGGCCATCCCATCTCTGAGTTTTGTATAGGTCCTGGCTGTGATGCTCTGCCTGCCAGTTGTGGTGGGTTCCGTGGGGTCCCCTGTCCTCTGACCTTGGACGGCTGTGTGTGAGCAACGTGGCTGCTCTCACAGAGGCTTGGTGGAAGCTCTCAGAGGCTTGCTGGGGCGTAAGAGCCTCCCGATCTTCCCAGGCAGCTGTCAGACCTGGAGCTGGTTGGCAAGGCCTCAGCCGTTCATATCTAATCTGGGTGCTGATTGTTGGAGGTGGTTTTGCTTTGATTGTCCCTGGGAGGCAAGAGCTGCTCCAGGTCTGTGGCCATTTATGGGCAGAGCAGAGGCTGGTCCTCACTGCGTAACACGACGGAGTTCGTGGTGGGGGTCACGTTCTGCCCAGCGACCTTGGCAAGTCACCATCCCAGCCCTTGCTGACTGCCTCCCGAAGCGTCATTTCCCTCCTTGTAGAGGTTATATAATTACACCTTCTCTCTGGCAATCTTGTTTTCCCCTCACTGCTGGACCATCACCATCTGGGTGATGATACTGCTCCTGCGTCAAAACATAAAGCTCTCGGATTCCGCATCTTCCCCCACCTATCGCCCCGTTTCTCTATTCCTCTTTAGAGAACACTTTAAAAAAGAGATAACTGGGACTTCCCTGGTGGCACAGTGGTTAAGAATCCGCCTGCCAATGCAGGGGACACGGGTTTGATCCCTGGTCCGGGAAGATCCCACATGCCGCAGAGCAGCTAAGCCTGTGCGCCACAACTACTGAAGCCCACACGCCTAGAGCCCGTGCTCTGCAACAAGAGAAGCCACCGCAATGAGAAGAAGCACGCACACTGCAATGAAGAGTAGCCCCCGCTTGCCACAACTAGAGAAAGTCCTTGGGCAGCAACGAAGACCCAATGCAGCCAAAAAAAAAAAAAAAAAAAAAAAAAGATAACTATACTCACTGTCCCTGACATGTTTGCTTCCATTCCCTTTAAACCCCTCCTTGGAAACTGCTCTTGGCCAGGTCCATTGCTAAGGCAGGTGGTCTCGTTGGGTCTCACCTGATTCGCACATGTGGCCCCTTTGTCTTTCAGGAACCCCCTCCCCTCACTTGGAATCCACTTCTGCCTCGCTGGCTGGGGCATCCTCGCTTCCCTGACTGCTGACAACCTAGGGCCCTGGGATTCAGGCTCCAGGCCTTTCCTCTCTCTTATCTGCATCCCCTCGGCGATCTCATCCTGTCTCATGGCTTTAAACACCCACTACGTGCCAACGATGCTCATTTTATATCTCCTTTCTGGTCCCCAGACTCACCGAACTGCCCATTCAACATTTCCATTTAGATGTCTAATTGCACCTCGACTTTAGCGTGTCCCAGACTGAATCTTGATCCCCCTAGATCTGCTCCTGCCACGTCACCCCCTATCAGTTGAAGGCTTTCCTTTTTCCCTTGCTCACCAACTCCTAATGATCACTGAATCCTCAGAGCTCTGCCTTCAGTTTGGGGGTTTGCATTTTTTCCTTTCTGATGTAACTATTTTTGAATATGTTAAACATTTGTGCAGTTCCAAGTCAAAACAGTATTAAAAGGTATCCTTAGAGAAATCTCATTTCCCTCCCGACAGTCTTTACCCCGTTTTTCAGTGTTCCTTCTGGCAAAAATAAGCACATGTATTTATTTTCCCCTTTTTCTTACACCAAAATTGGCATACTATATGCATTGTTCCACCTCTTGCTTTTTTCACTTAACAATATATTGTGGAGATCACTCCATTGCACAGAGAACTTCCTCATTCTTTTTACAGCTGCATCAGAATTTCATTGCATGGATGTAATTTATTCAACCAGACCCCTACTGACAAACATTTGAGTTGTTTCCAGTTGAGTTGCTATTACAAATAGGGCTGCAATGAATGGCCTTGTGTATATGTTGTTTTGTGCTTTGGAAGGATGTTTTCAGGGTGGATTCCTGGAACCATGGGGGAAGGACACCATCAAGAGAATCTGGGAGGTGGCACAGGGTTTGTGTCCTAGTGCAGCCCCAGGGAAGGCAGAGCCAGCAATGGCCAACCTAGATATGGCCAAGGAGGACAACGGGGAAGGAAGCATCCCCCAGAGCATGGGGCCAAGATCCCAAAAAACAATGTTTGGGGAGCCCCTTTCAGGGGGCAGACCTGGGGCCCACTCATGGAACATTCTGCCTGCTATTGTCTGTGTCTCCTATTGTTAGCTTTTGGAAATGGCTTCTTGGTGCTGTGGAGTTCAGCTACATCCTGCTGGATGTAGCCTGCTGGACCCGTCCATTTCTAATGGAGGAGTGTTGAAGTCTCCAACTCTGATAGTGGATTCATCTACTTCTTTATCTTTGATTTTCTGCAGTTTGAATACAATATGCCTAGATGTATGGTTTCTTTTATCTTTTTTTCTTTTTTCTTTTCCTTAAGGTGTACACTTTATTGAACTGATCAAGTCAGTGTACAGGTAAGCCCTGGATGTCTCCACACCATAGCCTGCTCCCGGGGGACTCATTCTCTCTTTCACTTCCTTCCTTCCTTCCTTCCTTCCTTCCTTCCTTCCTTCCTTCCTCCCTCCCTCCCTCCCTCCCTCCCTCCCTCCCTTGCTTCCTTCCTCTCTTTCTTTCTTTTGGCATTTTTCCTTCTTGGTGTTCTCTGAGCTTCCTGGATCTGTGGTTGAGTGTCTGACATTAACTTGGGGCAATTTCTCAGTCATTATTGCTTTAAATTTTTCTTCTGTTCCTTTCTCTCCGTCTTTCCTTCTTTTGGTGCTTCCATTATATGTATACTACACATTTTGTAGTTGTCCCACAGTTCTGGTTATTCTGTTCCTTTTTTTTCCCTGGTCTTTTTTCTCTCTAATTTTCAGTTTTAGAAGTTTCTGTTGACATATCCTCCAGCTCAAAGAGTCTTTCCTCAGTCATGTCCAGTCTACTAAATGATCCCATCAGAGGGATTCTTCATTTCTATTACTGTATTTTTGATCTCTCATTTTGCCATCATGGGAAATCCTGGAACTTCTAGGTTGACTGCATGAATCCCAAAGAGAAAGCCAATAAAAAACCAGGGAGGAGAAGGAGAAAATCTGAGTCATTGGGGATATCTTTTACAGTTGCTGGATCAAGTCTCACGTGAAGCCAGAACTAAATCTGGATTTTTAATTGACATACCCAGTAAAAATTCTTTTATATTATGAGTCAGCTTGAAGTGAATTTTCTGTCACTTGGTGCCTCAGAGAGTCCTCACTGACTCTATATCTAACTCATAGGCTTATTGTGAGGTTTAAATAAAATTGCACTTAGCAAACGAAGCATGGCACACAAGTAATACTCAGTGAATGATTACCAATATTGTTATTATGATATATTTATTTTTACAGTTATGTGTGCTTTTTATTCCATATCCTAACATTGGCATGTTTCTGTTTCTCTTTTTGGTATTATTCAGTTTCTACCCCCAAAGGAGAGAGGCTGAGGGAGGGGACTAATCAGCCCTGGGCTTCTGACCACCAGCTTCAGCCTCGGGTCCTCCTTGCAAAACCACAGCTGGGGAACAACACAGAGACCACGTGGTGTGGTTCTAATTCCTCTGACATCTCATTTTCATTCTTCAATGATATTTATCTGCATCCAGCTTACACATAAATGTTTCCAGTAAAATGTTCCAAGTGCCTTTTTTCAGAAATCTGAATCCACATGAAAACAATGGCAACAAGAAAAAGGTGTAAACTTTCCAGAACAGGCCCAGATTTTGAAAATGTGATAAAGAGGTTATTGTGCGTCCGAACTTTTCACACAAGAATTGGAGGAGATTTAACACCAGGAATAATAAACCGAGGAAAACCAGCTAATGCAGAGCAGATGGGCCTGCAGGGCAGTGCTAAGCATTTCAATGTCTTTCCTCTTGGACCTTTGGACTCCAGATGACTGAGTGCTGGTTTCTCTAGCTCCAAATAAAGTTAATGCAATTGGGGAAACCATCAGTATGGCTGGTTTGATTTCTGGAGTGATTAGTGGATTAAAGTTTTTCAAGACTGTACTATGTGGTGGGCATTTGACATTCACTACTTGAATCCTGACCACAGCTCCATTTTACTGATGAGAAAACTGAGGTTTTAAAAGCACAAATCACTTGCTGAAGGGCCCATAGCCAGTATGAGAGCCAGGATCAGTCCTAGGTCTGTCTCATTGCATACGCTGTGGTTCTGCAAACTGGGTAATAAGAGAGCAGGGAAAAGGGGTCATGGTCACACAAATTTGAGAAACTCTGTGTGTGTATGTGTGTGGGTGTATATCTACACAGTAAAAGCCTTATTAAGGTATAATTGATCTGCAATAAGCTATACGTGTTTAAACCATACAACTCAATAAGTTTTGATCCGTGTCTATCTGCATGAAACCCTCACCACAATCAAGATAGTGAACATCTCCATTACTTCCAGTAGTTTCCTCGTGCCCCTTTGTAATTCCTCCCTCTTCTCCCTCCCACCGTTGATTCCAGACAATCGCTGATCTCCTTTCTGTCACTGTGGATTAGTTGTACTTTCTAGAGTTTTATATAAATTGAATCATACCAGATGTAGTCTTTGCCTGTCTTCTGTCACTTGGCATAATTTTTTGAGATTCACTCATGTTATTACATGTTTGTTCCTTTATAGGACTAAGTGGTGTTCCGTTTATGAATCTGCCACAATTTATCTACGCATCTATAGATGGACATGGAGGTTGTTTCCAGTTTTGAGCTATTACAAATAAAGTTGCTATGAACATTCGTGTTCAAATCTTTATATGACATAAGCTTTCTTGGATAAATACCTAAGAGTGGAAGGGCTAGATCATATGGTAGGTATATGTTTAACTTTTAAAGAAACTGTTAAACTGTGTTTCAAAGTGGTTGCACCATTTTACCAGCAGTGTATGGTAGTTCTCGTTCCTCCTCATCAGCACTTGGTGTGGTCAGTCTTTTAAATGTTTACCATCCTAATAGGTATGTAGTGATATCAGATTTTCTTATGGTTTTAATTTGCATTTCCCTAATGACTAATAATATCGAGTATGTTTTTCTGTGCTTGTTTACATCTATATATCTTCTTTAGTTAAGTGTTTGTTCAAATGATTTGCATATTTTAATAGAGTTGTTTCTTACTGAGATTTGAGAGTTCTTTATACTTATTGGATGCAAGTCTTTTAATAGATATATGTTTTACAAAGATTTTTCTTCAGGTCTGAGGTTGTATTTTCATTCTCTTGCCAATGTCTTTTGAAGAACAGAAGTGTTTTTTTTTTTTTTTAAAAACTCTGGTGAAGTCCAATTTATTTATTTTAAAATTTATTGAAGTAACGTTGATTTACAATGTTGTGTTAATTTCTGCTGTACAGCAAGGTGATTCAGTTATACATATGTATATACATCCTTTTTCATATTCTTTTCCTTTATGGATTATCACAGGATATTGAATATAGTGCCCTGTGCTATACAGTAGGACCTTATTGTTTATATCTGTTGAAGTCCACTTTATAGTCCACATTTCTTCTACTTCACATTTTTAAAACCTTAGGTACCTTCTGGAAGAATTCTTGGCTTGATATTACAACTCACAAATTTGCTCTTTGGCAACCTGTTCAGCCTATATGTTGAATTTTTTTCAATGATCAGATACTTAAAATCATTCATCATGTTTGCAACATGGTAATCTTACATCTCCCTGAGAATAGCAGTTATTCAGTTCAGTTCAGTCTATGAGCTTTGTTTTCTCGGTGTAATTGTAACACTTGGTAAGAGGGTGACATCTTTCTTGCACAGCTGCTTGGTGATGCTTAGCTGAGGAGTCATGTATTTGAGGACCCCTGTTGGCTGGTCTTTGCCTGTTGTGCCCACTTCGAGGATGAGGAATGAGAGGCAACACAGCACCACGAGAGGGCGCTTTCTTGGGGGCAGGAACTCCTCCCTCCTCCCTGGTGCAGTCAGCCCCCTGGGACACTGTCTAAAGACTCATACTCCATGGTACTGCATGGAAGCGGGCACCTCTACTGCTGCTGCCTAGTCCCAGGGGCAATGAGGACAAGGCATGGACCTGACAGTTCCTACTCAGGTGCCCCAGCTTGTGCCCCGTCAGGGGCTCCAAGCTGCTCTTTTCCTTCTCTCCCATACACACCTTCAGGCTTTGAGCATCGTTGGAATCACCGCCCAACTTCTATCTACTTCTATGCAAGAGTCCTCTCCCATGTGTACCTAAGTATAGAATTCCTTTCAAAATCTGATAAGACTGCCTTCCGTATTTCAGGGATTTTAAATATTTCTTATCTAAAAGGAACCCCCTTCCAATTTTCCAGCATTATTATGGATCAAAACCACATTTGTCTCATTTCTAGGGCTTCCCTGGTGGCGCAGTGGTTGAGAGTCCACCTGCTGATGCAGGGGACGCGGGTTCATGCCCCGGTCCGGGAAGATCCTACATGCCGTGAAGCAGCTGGGCCCATGAGCCATGGCCGCTGAGCCTGCGCGTCTGGAGCCTGTGCTCCACAACGGGAGAGGCCACAACAGCGAGAGGCCCGCGTACCGAAAAAAAAAAACAAAAAAAAACCCCACAAAAAAACCACATTTGTCTCATTTCTAGAGACTTGTGATGGGAGGAGAGGCTGTAACTGATGCTTCGTTGTCCAACCTGAATGGAACCTGTGGGCAGTATTTGCATCTGTAGAAGAATCTCAGTATTTGAAAGGCCACCAGTGCAGACCACATATGCTAAATGTTGCCATGACAATTTGGTTTGCACCTTTTTTCTTTTGGCCTCCCCACGTGGCACGCGAGATCTTAGTTCCCTGACCAGGGATTGAACCCCCGCCCCGTGCAGTGGAATAGTGGAGTCTTAACCACTGGACCACCAGGGAAGTCCCTTCATTTGCAACTTTGATGTTTGCACGTTGGGGAAAGTTTACCAGGGCCCACCATCTGAGGGGAACGCATGACCATTGTTAGAAATGAAAATCTGCCCATTTCTCTCCATGCTGGAAGGGCCACGTGTCTGTGCTACTGTTGACAGTCCCAGCTGAGCCCAGACTTTCAGTCATTCCCACCAAAGCACCAGACGTGTGAATCAAGCCATCTTGGATCCTGTAGACAAGCCCAGCCGCCAGGTAAGTACCACTGAGACCCTCAGGTGATGCCACATGAAACAGAACTGAAGAATTGCCCCGCCAAGCCCCAGTTCCTTAGCCGGCTGCTCAGTGCTTGAGCTGTAACAGTGAAGCCCTTCTGGAGAGCAGTCTAGTGAGGGAAGCAGATGACAGACCAGTTAATAACATTATGAAAGGGGTTGAAATGGGGGGAGATGGCTGGCAAAGAGTGCTTTAGGAGCACCGAGGAAGGGTATCTTTTAGCTGCACGTATACAGGCACTGCACACAGTGCACTTAAACCCTGTGAACAGTGGGTAGCAGCTGCGGGAAATCTCTAAGGAGGACATTTCTGTAGTCTTCACCAATGGCCCACATCTGGGAAACTGGTGAGAGGCAGATTTGACAATTTGCTACAGTCATTGTAGAGAAGGAAGCCCAGCTGGTGTGGGCTGCTTGCGTGAGGATGAGGTCGTGGCTGCACCACTGTGGGTTACGTCTTAGCCTTCCACAAGCTGTACCTGAAGCACGCGGGGATGTGAGGTCTTGAACTTTTAAGCCAAAAAAGACTCTTAAATGGCTCACTTAACAAGGAAGCTACTTTAAGGACAGTGCTTTGAATTTTTTCTCTTTTAATCCAAATGCAAATAGCTACTTCTAAGAGTAAAAGAAATTGCATAATAATAATGATTAAATCGCTAACGCTTATCACTGGCTTCCCATGTGCCAAATACTGTACTGTGTGCTTTAGGAGGCATATTTCTCTGAATCCCCCACAGCAACCCTCTGTGATCCTCTCTTTACAAATAGGGAAACTGAGGCTTGGAGAGGTTAAGGAACTTCTCAAGGTGACATACGTGATGTTATGGCTGAACGTGTGTGTCCTCCCAAAATTCATGCGTTGAAGTCCTAACCCCCAGCGTGGCTGTGTTTGGAGTAAGGAAGTAATTGAAGTTAAATTAGGTCATAAGAGTGAAGCCCCATCCCAATAGGATTAGTGCCTTTATGAGAAGAGATGCCAGAGAGCTGCCTCTCTCTCCATGTGTTTGCCCAAAGAAGAGGTCGTGTGACACATAGCAAGAAGGTGGCCGTCTGCAACCCAAGGGAAGAGTTCTCACCAGTCACTGACCCTGGTGGCACCTTGATCTTGGACTTTCAGCTTTCACAACTGTGAGGAAGTAAATTTCTGTTGTTTAAGCCACCCAGTCTGTGGGATTTTGTTATGGTGGCCCCAGCAGGTTATATACCTGACAACCCACCACACTGGGATTATGAGCACCAGAGCCCCTGACTCATCACCCTGAACTGCCTCCTAGAAATATCATCATTTGAAAAGTTTTACATTTTGTAAAGTGGCATATGCTAGTTTAAATTGACATGAGACATGTTTTCAAAACTTGACATTATCGGGACATCCCTGGTGGTGCAGTAGTTAAGAATCCACCTGCCAATGCAGGGGACATGGGTTCGATCCCTGGTCCGGGAAGATCCCACATGCCGTGGAGCAACTAAGTCTGTGCGCCACACCTACTGAGCCTGCGCTGTAGAGCCTGCGAGCCACACCTACTGAGCCTGCGTGTTACAACTACTGAAGCCCACACGCCTAGAGCCCATGCTCTGCAACAAGAGAAGCCACCACAGTGAGAAGCCCGTGCACCGCAACGAAGAGTAGCCCCTGCTCGCGGCAACTAGAGAAAGCCTGCGCTCAGCAACGAAGACCCAAAGCAGCCAAAAATAAATAAAATAAATAAAAAAATAAAACCTTGGCATTGTCTATGCTAACATTGTTGGTTGTTACTTAAAGCAGTTTCACTAAATTTGGATCTCTGGAAAAAACATTTTTTTTGAGCATGGAAGCAGGTTGGACATATTGCACCCAGTAATAACAGTGAGACTTTTGGCATATGAAATACTTCAGTGGGAAAGTATTTGCTTAAATCTTTGCCTGCTATTATAGTTGAAGGTTTGGTGATAGTATTTGCCCTTCCCATGAACTTCCTGGATTTCAAAACCATGTGGAAGTGTAGCTTGTCTTATACGAAAAATAAAGTCGGAGAACTTTTAAAGAATTAACATCAAGAAATGCATTAAGCTAAGTATCAGTTATTTAGAGAATGATTATCTGGTGTGTGAATGATCTTGGTCCTTTTATTTCTCACCCTCCTTTGACAATACCATGAGGATACTTTTCTTCCACAGGTTGGCTGCTGTCCTTCTTAACCTCTACTGGGAGTGCAAGCAGGTGTCAGCCCCTCAACAGAGGCCAGGCTGTTCTGACAGGCTTTCACTTTGATGAATGCTTTGGCTTTATGGGTGGAGCATCTTTTACATCCACTGCTGGCTCTCTGTAGACCATTTAAGCAGTACAAAAGGAAAGATAGATGATAAGGAAGTAGGTAGATGGATAGATGATCCATAAATCAGCAAGAACAGCCCACAATCTGAGCTATAACCATTACAGGTTATATATAAATATATATTATATATATATATAAAACATATATATAATATATATAAATGACATATAACATATATATAACCAGTTATATATATATATGTATATATATATATGAACATATAACATTTCAGGTAAACATCCAGACCTCTTTTTTTGGGGGGGTTATTAATTTTATTTATTGCTTATTCATTTCCTATTTCACCAATTTCCTCTGTATTATTTCCATTCTTTTTTATTTTTAAAAAATTTTAAAAATTAATATCATTTTAAAGGTTACACTCCATTTAGTTATTACAAAATATTGGCTACATTCCCCGTATTGTACAATACATCCTTGAGCATATCTTACACCTAATAGTTTGTATCTCCCATTCTTCCACCCCTCTATTATCTCTCCCCCCTCCCCACTCAGACCTCTTTTTATGAGCATGTATACATATAGATGTAACAGATCATATTTTGAGCATATTAGACCTCGTAGGATGCAGCTCAAACAGTGCTTACAGGGAAATTTAGTGTATGTGTATACACATGTATTATATATAGTATATATTTTATATAATATATATTATATACTATATAAAATGTATATAATAGAAAAGAATTAGAAAAATAGTAAGGCTAAAAATCTAAGCAACTATCTCAAGGAGCTAGAGAAGAGTATTGCAAATTAAATCCAGAGAAAGTAGAAGGAAAGATAATTAAAAACAGAAATCAAATAAAAATTTAAAATTAAAAAGTAAATGCATTATAGAAAGAAAACCACCAAAGTTAAAAGTGGGTTCTTTGAAATAATTAAGAAAATTAATAGCTCCTACAAAGACAGATCAAGAAATAAAGACCAAAAATACAAGTTACAAATGACAGGCATGAAAAACCTGACATCACTACAGATTCTACAGACATTAAAAAGGTAATGATTCTGATAGTGTGGTCAAGGAAAGACAAGGGCTTGAACTGAACCCAGTAGATGAGAATGAGTTGGTGGATTTGAAAGCTTGAGGAGGTGGAATAAACAGACTGGTTGGATTGGGTGTGGGAGAGAAATAGGTGTAACAGTTTGTGCTGAGCTCTCTCTTAGGTGACTGGGTGGCCAAGGGGCGCCACTAGTGAGGCTGGTAGCTCAGATGGAGAACCAAGCTTGGTGAAATTCGGCTTAAACCAACTTTTCCCAATTTAATTTTATTGCTTTTTTTACTTGCTACCTAAAAGCCAATTCCCCCCCCCCCCCCCCCAAAAAAAAACCCCAGAAAATAACAAGTGTTGTGAGAATGCAGAGAAATTGAAACTCTGTGCACTGTTTGTGGGAAGGTAAAATGCAGCACAGTCACTCTGGAAAAGTGTGGCAGTTCCTCAAAATATTAAACATAGAATTACTATGTGATCCAGCAATTCCACTTCTCGGCATATACCCTAAAGAATGGAAGGCACTTGTCTCGAACAGATAACTGTATACCTATGTTAATAGCAGTATTATTCACAATAGCCAAAAAGTGGAAACAAACCAAGTGTCTTTCAAAGGATCGACAGATAAAGAAAATGTGGTGTGTAAGTACAGTCTTTAAAAAGGAAAGAAATTCTGATGCGTGGTACAACATGAATGGTCTTTGAGGACATTATGCTAAGTGGATTGTCAAACATGAAAAGACAAATACTGTATGATTCCACTCATGTGGGGTACTTAGAGTAGCGAAATTCACAGACAGAATGGTTGCCAAGGGCTAGAGGGAGGGGAGAAAAGAGGAGTTACTGTTTAATGGATATAGAGTTACAGTTCTGCAAGATTAAAGTTCTAGAGGTGGCTGGTGGTGGCTGCACAATAATGTGAATGTACTTAATGCCACCAAACTGTACACTTTAAGATGGTTAAGATGGTGAATTGTATGTTATGTGTATTTTATCCAGTTAAACACACACACATGCACACAAGGCTGGACCCCAACCCAAGGTTCTGAATCAGCAGGTCTGGAGTGGGATCTGCTGATTGGCCTTTCTATTGGCATTCTATTGTAGTCAATAAGTTCTCAGGTGATGCTGATGCTGCCGGTGCGGAGACCACACTTAGGGATAAGTGGTTAGGAGGCCTGGTGAGTATCATGTGGAGGGGTCCTCTGCTTGCTCCCTCGTGGCTATCGTTGTTATTTACAACGGCCGGCGTTTATGGAGGGCTTGCCTGCTACAGGTTATCTCACAGTTGGGTGAAGGGGCAGCAGATGGGCAGGGCTAGAGTAGATAAACTTCACCCGGCTTCCTTTGGTTCTTGGTGTGAGTGTAAGGCTGAGAGGGAACCAGAGACGCAAATAAAGACCGAGTACAATTTAGCGCACAGCCGCGGGGAGAATTAGGGTCGCCTAGGGACCGAGCGCCCAGGGCGCTATCTGGAAGGGGACGTGGGGCGCCTGGGCAGGTCTCCAGACTCCTCCGCGGCCGCGGGAGGCGGAGGGGGACTCGTGGCCCGCAGAGGGCGCTGCTGCGCCGTCCCGCCGCCTGCCGCCCAGGCCGCCCACCCCGCGGGCGCGCCCCTCTGCAGTCCAGTGCCGACCGGCCGGGGACCCGCTTGTTCCGAGCGCGCACACTTCTCGGCCGGACGGAGGACGCCGCCAGCTCCTGGCCGCCCCTGTACTCGCCTGCGGCGGCAGCTCGGCGCACCGCCCCCGGCCCGGCACCGCGTCGCGCCCGCGTCCGAGCGCAGAACTCCGGCCCCAGGAACCTCCCGGCCGTTGGCGGAGCCAGCAGCCCCGCCGCCGGCACGTTCGGCGCCCTGCTCTCGGGGCACAGGGGAGGGCGGCGGCCGGCTGGTGATGGGCGGCCCGGCGGCGCGGAGGGGCGCCGGGGGGCTCCGCGCGCTGCTCCTGGCGCTGGTGGCCGCGGGGAGCCCCGCGGGCGCCTACAATCTGGACCCGCAGCGCCCCGTGCGCTTCCAGGGTCCCGCCGGGTCCTTTTTCGGCTACGCGGTGCTGGAGCACTTCCACGACAACACGCGCTGGTGAGTGCCCTCCCGGCCCGGACCCTGACCCCGGCCCGGCTCGTCCCGCTGTAGCCGCCAGGCCGTCGCTGCCGCCGCCTTTCCGGCCTCTCCACGCCGCCGTCCCGAGGGGGCGATTTAAATGTCTCGGTTGTGCGTAGCTCGGCCGCCGAGGAAAGGCGGGGAGGAGGAAGGACGCCGGTTCCCGGTCCAGCGTACTGCCCGGTGGGCGCCCGAGTCGGAGGGGGCCGGGCGCCTCCCCGCCGGGGTTGCCCGTCGCTCGGCCTCCCAGCCAGACTCGGCTTAACTCTCTAGGTCGCAAAGTAACTTGGTTCTTCTGCCCCCGTGGGCCCCAGGCAGCCCGGCCAGAATCCCGAAGGCCCCGGGCTGCGGAGACAGACTCCTCAGTTCGGGGAACTCTTGGTGACACCCCACCCGCCTCGCCCCGGCTTTAAGCCTCTCCCGCCGGCTCTGCGCAGGAAGCAGAGTAACCCCGAGATGCGAGGGGAGTGGGCTGGGTGTGCGTGGGTTCGGGGGGCGGGGATGCCGACTGTGTGGTTCCCCTTCTCGCTCACCAGGCCCTCTGCGGAAGCGAGCCGAGAGGGTCCGGAGGCAGGGAAGGGGGATGGTCCTGGACCCCAGTGACAAGTCCGGTGGGACCGGTGGGTGATTTCTGGGGCAGCTACCCTGGAGACCGGTAGAGGTCAAGGAGTCCAGTTGCCCCCTGAATGTCCCCTTAAGAGTCCCAAGAGGTGGGAGCTCTCCCCATGAGGCACCACCTCTGAAGGGGCACGGAGTGCTCAACCCCAGGGGAGAAGCACCAGGGGAGGTTGGTCTCCCCTTGGCCCTTTCCTATGGACAAGAGGGAATGAAACAGCCACAGGAGGGGTCAACCCCTCCTCAAAGAGTTAGGGTGTGGGTAGTTCCCCAGTGGGGCCCCAGACGACAGCTGGTCTGGGGCTGGTTTTATTGTGTGGTCACCAGTGTGGACATCCTTGGGGGCTGCAGGCTGGGAGGGCGAGGTCAGCCTTGTGTGTGCGCTCAGCATGCAGTTCTGCTCGGAACTTGACAGAGGCTGATAGAAAAGGGAGGGTTTGTAGATTCGAGTCCTCTGGCGTTCCTGGAAAAGTGGGGACTCCGTGACCAGCCAGCCCTTTAACAATCATGCTGTTTAGGAGAGCTGCCTCCAAGAAAACAAGTTTTTAAGGTTTTTGTGTAGCTCCTGTCCAGTTCCCTATCTCTCTCCCTACCATTTACCCCAGTTGCTGAGTTTAAGACCAGCTGTCTTTTCTTGCACTTGCCAAATCCCCCTTTTAAAGCAAAGCAGGCTGACACCTTTTCTGTGTCCTCTGTACTCAGCGTCCACTGTGGACTTTGGTAGAGAAGGTAGCCTGGGCAGGAGCAATTGGAGAACACATCCCAGGATCCTAGCCCGGGCTCCCAAACTGTGTGACCTTGGCACAAAGCATGTTGGGAGGGCTGTTAAAGATAGAAGGGCTGGGGCTTCCCTGGTGGTGCAGTGGTTAAGAATCCGCCTGCCAATGCAGGGGACACGGGTTCGAGCCCCGGCCCGGGAAGATCCCACATGCCGTGGAGCAACTAAGCCCGTGCACCACAACTACTGAACCTGCGCTCTAGAGCTTGCGTGCCACAACTACTGAGCCCACGTGCCACAACTACTGAAGCCCGTGCGCCTAGAGTCCGTGCTCCACAACAAGAGAAGCCACTGCAATGAGAAGCCTGCACACTGAAGCGAAGAGTATCCCCAACCAGAGAAAGACCCAACGCAGCCAAAAATAAAAATAAAAAAATTAATTAATTAAAAAAAAATAGAAGGGCTACTCTGGGCAGGGTGCTGCTGAGGAGGGGCAGGCAGGGGAGCTGGAGCACCACATGGGGTCTGCAGCTCTGCAGCCTCATGGGTCTCTGAGCTCTTTGGGCCACGGGTAAAAGCTGCCCCATTTCGGAAGTGGGGGGAGTCAAGAGCAGATCTGACTTGGAAAAAGAGTCCAGCCTGCTTTGTTTTAAAAAGGTGATGAGGAAAGGCTGTGTGGTATGAATATTTCAAGTATATTTCAATATTTCAAGTATTTCAGGGGTCCATCCACAGCCAGGCTTCCGGTCTCAAAATCGCTCTCTCTTGCTTCTGATACTGAGTGGGCTGCTCTTTTTATTGGAGCGCTTGTCCCTATAGTTTTTCAAGTACCAACTAATCTCTACTGCAATCTATTTAAAGCAACTTTTCTTATTCCCTGCCCCCCACTGCCTTAACTCTGTCTTAGTTTTTGCTTATCTCCTTGTCTTCTGTCCTCTTGTTATTTCTTCCTAGCGTCTTCCTCCCTATTCTTTTCTCTCTCCTCTCCCTTCCCCCCAGTATTCTTGGTCTTAGACCTTGACGGTTATTCTCTGCTGATTATGCTGCCCAGTCTTGGTATGCCAGTGGTCTTTGAAGCAAGAGACTTTCAGAATCTCCTATTTTCAACTTCTTTCTTTTCTCTATATCTTTAGAGGCTAGGCTTACTATGAGGCTAATGAAACTTCCACCAAAGGCCTCTCACTTGCACAGGCCGCTCCCTACCAAGGCCCTGTGCCTAATTCTGTATTTGTAATTTTGTATTAATTTTCTTAAAGGTAGTCGCCCTATATTTGTAGGATTCAGGCCCTGTGGAATCTGGGTCTACCCTAGGTCTCTACCTTAACTCTGGGGTTGGTTGCTTGACTTAGTGACTGATTGTTGGTCTCTTCCTACCAGGCAGTCCTTGGGCCCTGGATCTTTTAGCTTTGCTTGAGGGACATGCAGGTTGTTTCCAATTATTCACAATTATAAACGTCAGCCGGGTAAACATCCTTCTAACAAAAGCCTTGCGGACATCCTTAATTATTTCCTTTGAATAAGTTCCTGGGCTTAGAATTGCTGGGTCAGAGAGGGAGGGAGGTTTTAAAGCTTTTTCTCTGCGTTTCCAGAGTGCCAGTGAAGCTGAAGTGTGCACTTTAGGGAACTGTATTTAACTTTGGAGTAATTTACCAAAGGGCTGCTCCAGTCCAATGGAAGAGCATAGCCACCTACATGAGGGGGACTTAAAATAACGATCACAGAGAGTCAAACTGGGTGTGGGAGGTAAGTGACAGACACCAAGAGGACAATGTGTTAAAACTCTGAAAGGAAAAGGAGGCAGCGTTCACTAAGCCTTGTATCTGCTGTCTTTCTTTCTGAGCAGAAGTTACTCTTAAGCTTCTTCATTCAGTCTTCGTGGTTCAGTAGTTTTGCTTCGTGCTAATTAAACACCTCTGTACAGGTGGAAGGATTTGTTGTGTGTAGGGTAAGGGAGGGAGGAGAGTGTGCAGGGGGAGGGGCAGGGAGAGAGCCCAGGCACGACAGTCTGCAGGGGCCGGAACTGAAGGGTCCCCAGGTTGAGGGGACCCCAGGTGCACATCACGAAGCTCCTGCATATGCTCCGTCAGTAGGACTAGTGCTTCTTCTCTAATCCCCTAACTGAGCATTCCTAGCAGTTCTCTTTTAAGTAATAATTCTCACTGATCAGAGGTCCTATCTCTCTGTGTAAGGGATGGGGTGGCCTCGCTTTCCGAGCCCTGGGGACTGCGTCCTGCATACGCAGTCATGTTGCATTGGGAACAGAGTCCTGGACCCAGCCTCTCTCCAAGGGTTTGGCTTGAGTGGCCTCTGCTGTGTGTCATGCTCTGGGCAGTGAGCGTTGTCCCCATGGCCAGGTGGACCAGAATATGGCAGGCAGTGTGATATATGTCATTTGTATCAGTTTGGATGCAAACATGCAAGTGACTCGGTTTCTTTTTTCCCAGTGACACCCCGAGGGCATCTCCCTGCCCTGAGCTAGCGTCCTTCCCTAGACTTCCCACCACCTGGGTCTTCTTGCTCCCTTTGAACAATAGCAGGAGGTGCCAGGGAACACGGACAAAGCAGATTTCTGTCCCCTTCCTTTAGACACGGACTGGTCCCTCAGCTGCAGGGCAGACAACTGTAACACCCTGTGAGATAAATAAATGCAGCCCTGCTGGCTGGCGTAGAGCCCCAGAGCGGGTTTCTTTCACACCCTCCCTTCCCTCCTTCCTCTTGGCCCCAGACGCCCCGGAGTCCTAGGCGGTTGGGTGCATTGGCTTCCTTTCTGGAGACGTGCTTCCTGCCTCATCTCCGGGGATGCATCAAGACGGCTGTGCTCGGGCCCAGAGCAAGTGCTCGGAAATGGAAGAGGCGCCGGCGTTTTGCTTTGTTAAGGTTGTTAGAGCATCGCTCCGTGAGGAACAGGAGGTGATTCAGAGCCGAGGGGACCATAGCATCCTCAATTTGCATGATGGTTGAGAATTAAAAGAACAAGCTAGATGGTCTGGCACTGCCAGTGCAGTTGCCGTGAGCCAGATATATTGCTGTCTAAATTAAAATTAATTACAACCAAATAAAATGAAGAATTCAGTCGTACAGTCATACTAGCCACATTTCAAGTGCTCAGTGGCCACGCGTGCCTCGTGGCTACTGTACTGGATAGCACACAGAACATTTTCACCGTCGCAGAAAGTGCTGGTACTGGTTTGGAGCAATGAATTGTGTCTTAAAGGGCTAGCTACACAGGGACTTCCCTGGTCGTCCAGTGGTTAGGCCTCGGCGCTTTCACTGCCATGGGCCTGAGTTCGATCCCTGGTCAGGGGACCAAGATGCCACAAGCCATGTGGTGCTGGCACCCCCCACCCCTACGGCAAAAAAAAATAAAAGGCTAGACAAAGATCAAAAGGCAGTGTAAGAAAAGTCGACCCTTGTATTTGAGTATGAAAACTGAAATGAGGGAGCTTAACTAAAAATTAAGACTAGGCAGCCTCTTTTCATCCATCAGACATTGGAGTGCCTACTCTGTGCTAAGGGCTGGGTATTCAAGAATGAAAAATGCACCCATAGCCTGATGGGTGAGAAGGTTGTGGGCTTCTCGTCTTGTGTGTCAGGCAGAGATGAGATGTGGGCTCCCATAGGGGAGAGGCTGGTCCTGGGGCAGCCC